TGTATGTTTGTACGTGGCAGTACACACCCAGAACATCGAACGACTGTGGAGCCCCCGGTTAGGTGAAATTCAAAATGTTTTTTCGATGGTTTTTGATATGTTTTGAACACTTTTAACCTTAATTTTTATAGCAAATTTCTAGATTATGAGATGGGAGGGGGGCTTATCCCCAAAACTATTGATTTGCGCTGAAAGGAAGGTCAAATTCGTTCATAGCACATTAAAAACCATCGGAAAAACATAGTTTCAACTTTGATTTCGTATAGTGGCAACAAATGAAAATTTACCATAGACTTTCTCTACTCATAGACTATCTCCGCTAACCCCTTCACTATGGGGACGCTAAATTTAATAATTAGTAATGTATGAGAACACCACTACCACCAGAAGGAGTTGTTTAGTAGTTGCTAACACTTACTTATATATTGAGTCTTATATAGGGAGAAAGAGAAAAAACTGTGATATTGATTTAGTTTTGGTCATCCAGGAATTTAAGTTAGGCTAGATATATATAGTTCCTGGGTTCTGTGGCTAGGTTAGGTTAGGTTTTTTAATAGCGTTTCTGTCGGAAATTTACATTTTTCAATTATCTTAACCATTAAAATTACCAACAATATTACTTGTTCAAAGTGGGCTTTGAAGTAGAGGGGAAAATGTGAGGTAAAATACTTAAAAGAACAAACAAACCTGACCTAATCTTTCATAACTTGTAAAAATGTTAAGAATTGCTTTCCAGCTTATCTCCCTCCTCATCTGAACACCGAAAACAACACCATCTCACAGAAAACAACACCATCTCACAGAAAACAACACCATCTCACAGAAAACAACACCATCTCACAGAAAACAACACCATCTCACAGAAAACAACACCATCTCACAGAAAACAACACCATCCCACAGAAAACAACACCATCACACAGTAAACAACACCATCTCACAGAAAACAACACCATCTCAGAAAACAACACCATCTCACAGAAAACAACACCATCTCAGAAAACAACACCATCTCACAGAAAACAACACCATCTCACAGTAAACAACACCATCTCACAGAAAACAACACCATCTCACAGAAAACAACACCAGAAAACAACACCATCACAGAAAACAACACCATCTCACAGACAGAAAACAACACCATCTCACAGAAAACAACACCATCTCACAGAAAACAACACCATCCACAGAAAACAACACCATCTCTCACAGAAAACAACACCACAGAAAACAACACCATCTCACAGAAAACAACACCATCTCACAGAAAACAACACCATCTCACAGAAAACAACACCATCGCACAGTAAACAACACCATCTCACAGTAAACAACACCATCTCACAGAAAACAACACCATCTCACAGAAAACAACACCATCTCACAGAAAACAACACCATCTCACAGAAAACAACACCATCTCACAGAAAACAACACCATCTCACAGAAAACAACACCATCGCACAGTAAACAACACCATCTCACAGAAAACAACACCATCGCACAGTAAACAACACCATCTCACAGAAAACAACACCATCTCACAGAAAACAACACCATCTCACAGAAAACAACACCATCTCACAGAAAACAACACCATCTCTACAGTAAACAACACCATCTCACAGAAAACAACACCATCTCACAGAAAACAACACCATCCCACAGAAAACAACACCATCTCACAGAAAACAACACCATCTCACAGAAAACAACACCATCTCACAGAAAACAACACCATCTCACAGAAAACAACACCATCTCACAGAAAACAACACCATCTCACAGAAAACAACACCATCTCACAGTAAACAACACCATCTCACAGAAAACAACACCATCGCACAGTAAACACCATCATCACACAGTAAACAACACCATCTCACAGTAAACAACACCATCGCACAGAAAACAACACCATCGCACAGTAAAGAACACCATCGCACAGAAAACAACACCATCTCACAGAAAACAACACCATCGCACAGTAAAGAACACCATCGCACAGTAAAGAACACCATCGCACAGTAAACAACACCATCGCACAGAAAACAACACCATCGCACAGTAAAGAACACCATCGCACAGTAAAGAACACCATCGCATAGAAAACAACACCATCGCAGATAAACAACACCATCACACGGTAAACAACACCATCTCACAGTAAACAACAACATCTCAGAAAACAACACCATCACAGATAAACAACACTATCACAGTAAACAACACCATCACACAGTAAACAACACCATCGCACGGTAAACAACACCATCGCACAGTAAACAACAACATCGCACAGTAAACAACACCCTCGCACAGTAAGAACACCATCTCACAGAAAACAACACCATCGCACAGTAAACAACACCATCCTGATAAAACAACACCATCACACAGTAAACAACACCATCACACAGTAAACAACACCATCGCACAGTAAACAACACCATCTCAGAAAACAACACCATCGCACAGTAAACAACACCATCTCACAGAAAACAACACCATCGCAGTAAAACAACCACGCAGAAAACAACACCATCACACAGTAAACAACACCATCGCACAGTAAACAACATCATCGCACAGAAAAACAACACCATCGCACAGTGAAGAACACCATCACACAGAAAACAACACCATCGCACAGTAAATAACACCATCGCACAGTAAAGAACACCATCACACGAAAACAACACCATCGCTAAGAAAACAACACCATCGCTCGAAAACAACACCATCAGCACAGTAAACAACACCATCGCACAGTAAAGAACACCATCACACAGAAAACAACACCATCGCTGAAAACAACACCATCGCACAGAAAACAACACATCGCAGATAAATAACACCATCAGCACAGTAAAGAACACCATCGTCAGAGAAACAACACCATCGCAAGAAAACAACGCCATTGCTCGATAAAGAACACCATCGCACAGAAAACAACACCATCGCACAGAAAACAACACCATCGCACGTAAAGAACACCATCGTACAGAAAACAACACCATCGCTCGATAAAGACACCATCGCACGAAAACAACACCATCGCTGAAAACAACACCATCGCACAGAAAACAACACCATCGCACAGTGAAGAACACCATCACACAGAAAACAACACCATTGCAGATAAATAACACCATCGCACAGTAAAGAACACCATCACACAGAAAACAACACCATCGCAGAAAACAACACCATCGCACAGAAAACAACACCATCGCACGGTAAACAACACCATCGCACGGTAAAGAACACCATCACACAGAAAACAACACCATCGCACAGAAAAAACAACACCATCGCTCGAAAACAACACCATCGCTGATAAATAACACCATCGCACAGTAAAGAACACCATCGTTACAGAGAAAACAACACCATCACATAGAAAACAACACATTGCTCATAAAAAACACCATCGCAGAAAACAACCATCGCACAGAAAACAACACCACCACAGAAAACAACACCATCGCATATAAAAACACCATCGTGCAGAAAACAACACCATCGCTCAGTAAAAAACACCATCACAGAAAACAACACCATCGCTGAAAACAAACACCATCGCACAGTAAAGAACACCACGCAGCACAGTAAAAGAACACCATCGCACAGAAAACAACACTCGCTGAAAACAACACCATCGCAGAAAACAACACCATCGCACAGTAAAGAACACCATCGCATTGGTAAACAACTCCATCGCACAGAAAACAACACCATCCTGAAAACAACACCATCGCACAGTAAAGAACACCATCGCACGATAAAAAAACACCATCTACAGAAAACAACACATCGCACGAAAACAACACCATCGCAGATAAAGAACACCATCGCAGTAACAACACCATCGCTCGATAAACAACACCATCGCACAGTAAAGAACACCATCGCACGAAAACAACACCATCGCACAAAAACAACACCATCCACAGAAAGAACACCTTCGCAGTAAAGAACACCATCGCTAAAACCATACATCGCACAGAAAACAACACCATCGCACAGAAAACAACACCATCGCACAGTAAACAACACCATCGCACAGTAAAGAACACCATCGCACAGTAAACAACACCATCGCACAGAAACAACACCATCGCACAGAAAACAACACCATCTTGATAAAAAAACACCATCGCAGATAAAAGAACACCATCCATAAAACAACACCATCGCTGAAAACAACACCATCGCACAGTAAACAACACCATCGCACAGTAAAGAACACCATCGCACAGTAAAGAACACCATCGCAGCAGAAAACAACATCATCACACACAGTAAACAACACCATCTCACAGAAAACAACATCATCACACAGTAAACAACACCATCTCACAGAAAACAACACCATCGCACAGTAAACAACACCATCGCACAGTAAAGAACACCATCGCACAGTAAAGAACACCATCGTATAGAAAACAACACCATCGCACAGTAATAACACCATTGCTCAGTAAAGAACACCATCGCACAGTAAAGAACACCATCGCACAGTAAAGAACACCATCGCACAGAAAACAACACCATCGCACAGAAAACAACAACACCATCGCACAGTAAAGAACACCATCGCACAGAAAACAACACCATCGCACAGTAAAGAACACCATCGCACAGTAAAGAACACCATCGCAGGAAAACAACACCATCGCACAGAAAACAACACCATCGCACAGTAAAGAACACCACGCACAGTAAAGAACACCATCGCACAGAAAACAACACCATCGCACAGTAAAGAACACCATCGCACAGAAAACAACACCATCTCACAGAAAACAACACCATCGCACAGAAAACAACACCATCGCACAGTAAAGAACACCATCGCATGTAAAGAACACCATCGCACAGTAAACAACACCATCGCACAGAAAACAACACCATCGCACAGTAAAGAACACCATCGCACAGTAAAGAACACCATCGCATAGAAAACAACACCATCGCACGGTAAATGCCAAAACATGAATAAGGTAAAAGCTTTTCATAGTTTTAGGATTTTTATAGGTTAGATCAGGTTACCACCTTAGGTCTTATTAAAAATTTGGACTGTTCCAATTTTTTTATAGTTTGTCGGCTATCCTTGGTCAAGCTTCCCAACTGTTAACCATTGTCTTTTATTTGCACTGACTCAGCACACAGGAAACTATATAGTCTACAGTACCGCCTTGCGCCGCCATATACTATACCTACATTGTATATATTCATGCTGAACTGTATAACTGCATGCTGTAGTTGATAAACATTCTTATCCAATTGTAAACCTTTACGATAATTGTACTTAATGAATACTGTATTATTATTATTATAGATGATGATGATGATGATGATGATGATGATTGTGGTTCCCTTCGCTGCTTTCAAGATTTACCTGACTATTGTACAGTATTGTGTGGCAGGTGAGTGATGGCCGCCCGGGATCAAGAACAGCTTCGCTATCCCCACAGATCTGCTGGATGATATAGCCAGGTGAAGATTGATGCTTATTCTTATTTGTCTGATTATTATTTAACCTATTATTGATTTTAAATATTTTTCATTTTTTTTTAAATTAAATGTACTGTATGTTAAGTTGTACTGCACTTCAGGTTCAGCCCAAATATGGTACATGGACCTTTCTACAAAAATATTCTTGTATAGTTGAACATTTGAACAGTGTTTCTTCCAACCAGACTGTCTGGAAAGTGTTAGCTCAATGTCCAGCTCTGCTGCAAATTGTGATGATCTATAATCATGGCACTATACCTGTACATTGGCAGTGCTGTATAGTACATTACATCTAATATCACCTTAAAATTAAAATAATAACTGATCAAAAATCACTATTGAAATATTAGTGCACCATCTTGATATAAAATCACACAAAAAATGGAGTAAATGACTGAATCCAAAACAGAAGTGATCAGTGTCACAGCAGCATCTTGTACAAGACTGAAGTACTAGCTGGGTGAATGGTCTACTCTATATGACGTGATCTAATTTTACTGGTGTTGTCTAACTTCTGACCCTAGGGTCAGGAGAGTCTTACCTCAGTTAACGGAAGTAACTGACCTAATCTACCCAGACCTCACATACAGCATTTGCTTGTCTGACCGTATAAAAATGACCCTGTTAACCCCCTGACCTAACCAAACCCCATTTTCCCTTGACACATGCTTGATGGGAGGGGGGGCAATTTTGTCCCCCTTACCCTACTAAATGCCCATGTAGCTAGTTCACTTGAGGGTTCCCCAGATGTGAACTAGCGACTTATTTGACAGGAGGTGGGTACTGAACTGTATCTACTTTAGAAATATACTGTAATGGCCCCTGTCTCATCAACAGAAGTATTATATAAATGGGTTATTTACATCTGATTTATATTCAGATTCACCCCCTGTAACTTTCCACTGGCTATGAGGTGACATGTTCAATGCACGTGATAAGGTGTGCCCAAGGGAAGTTGCGTCATACTATGCTGAGTAAAGGCATAAGTAGCCGGCTCTCTGGCCACCTGAAGTGGGCAGTAGTTTGATAACCTTGACTAGAGGAAGACGTTATTTGAGAGCCGCAGTGGATGGCTCCGTCTTCCTCGAAGGGGCAGCGACCTAATGTTCTCCTCGATGGGTCACTACTCAAAGTCACTCACACCAACTAATATCGAACGGACGTTGATTCACGCCTATTTACGCGCCCGTCCCTTTTTCTCTTCACGCTCATAGATAGCGGAAGATGCGGTGATTTACACATCAGGAATTGCAGCAACGGTGGTGACGGATTATTATCTGTCTACACCCAAGACGTCAGTGTTTTGTGAAAACAGGAAAAATAAAAAACAGTGACGTGTCAAACAATATCTGAGTGTTAAAAATATCCCGTATTGAGACGATAATTAGTGAGTGCTTCTCATTCTGTCGCCCACAGATGGTGTAGAATTATTCCCAATAACAGCAATTGAGTTATTGTTGACGTGAATTCCCTGTTAATGACAAATGAGAGTGGTCAGGAAAGTGTTTGTCAGCGCCTGACCATTCTGTGGAAGGTATTCTCCTGTCGTGAAGTAGATTCACCGGTCGTCATGCAGCATGCCCCGACTCATAGTGGGAGGGAAGAGTGCGGTTACCCCTCGGAACCATCTGTGGATCGCTTTAAACAGACGCCCTAACTCCTGTTAGGTATTTAAAGGAGTACTGTATAAACACCATATACACAGTTGGTAAAGGTAGAAGAATTATGTTCTCTCCCTAAAACACCCCTGGCCCCCATGTCCTTTACAGTATATACCTGTGTGTAGTTAGAGTTTTTAAGACCAAATTTTTGGCAAAAATTGGGGTCGACCTCTAAGCTGGTAATAGTTTAGTTAGGTTGAAAAATATTTACCAGTAACTACCAGTAAACAATGGAAGCAGCCTCCACCAGCTTTGAGTGTCGGTACAGTTGTTGGGCAGATCTCTTCGCATCATCGCTCAAGCCCAAAGTAGTAAATGCATGGTATGGTAGTACAGGACGATGTAAAACATAAAGTATTAATTTTTTAAAGTTTATTTATAGATACTTAAATTTTTGTTCATTACATTTGAAACATCAATCTTTGTTAATTAAATTTGAAACAAAAGGAAACTACGATATCTTATTTCTAAATACCTGGTATTTTCATTAAAATACTACATCACAAGTATATTTTACCTTAACTGTGACTGAATGAATATATTCTCAGAAATAAATATGGAAATGTAATATTTTTGCTGAAATGACGTACATATTACAGTGAAAGTGAATAAATCATGACGAAAACAATGAAATTTCGCTTTCTCGTTGTTCAAAAGATTTTACCGTAATCGCTTTAATGGTTTTCAGTTAAGAAACTGTTGTACAATAATATTCTATCCTAATTCACTTGAATAAATCTACGATACCATATTTCTGAATATTTTCATTAAAATCCATCAAAATCATTTTCCTTGTCATCGTCTCTTCATCACCAAACAGCTCCTCCCAGTCTTCCTTGAACGGGCTGAAATGCGTGTTTTTTGAATCGTTTTCAGTTAAAAAACTGTTTCTCACATGTATATTTACCTAACTGCGCCTGAATGAATATATTCTCAGAAATAAATAGGATAAAATACATGACAAAAACAAAAAGACTTTACCTAACCTTCCGATGTTCAACAGATGTTACTCTTTTTTTAATAGTTTTGGTTAAAATATGTTATATTACAATGATATTATAATCATACTAGCTTGATATAATACATTACGAAATGTAATATTTTTGCTGAAATGACGACGTATTTACAGTGGAAAGTGGTATAAAATAAATGAAAACAATGACTTTTGCTTTCTTTTGTTCAAAAGATGTTACCGTAATCTTTTAGTGTTTCAGTTAAAAAACTGTTACATCCAAGTGAATTAGATAGAATATTGTAATACAACAGTTTTTTACTGAAAACCGACTAACGATCTGTAACATCTTTGAACGAACGTAACTTGAAAGTCATTTCAGAAAAATATTACATTTCCATATTCTCAGAAATAAATAGTAGTTTTGCTGAAACGTAATGTATTTCAATGTAAATTAGGTAAACTACATGAAAAGACTTTACCTAACCTTCCGATGTTTCAAGATATGTTACTGCGTTTTTTAATAGTTTTAGTTAAAATACTGTTATATTAGTGATATTCTATTCATACTGTGCTTGATAAAATACATTAAGAAATGTAATATTTTGCATCTACAATGCTGATGTCAACACAAGCGTGGTTACAGCGAGACTGACTGACTGAGGGGCGCAGGAATGCGGGTGGCCCTGGTGATATTGTGTGTGGTGCAGTGTGTCGTCTCTTAGCCGATTGAATAATGTATATTCCTTTGAATGTATATTCCTCCAGCGGCAATCCGCGTATTTGCAAATCTGTGTAAGTTAAACACGCGTATGTTAAGGGCCGACTGTGTGTGTGTGTGTTTATATATATATATATATATATATATATATATATATATATATATATATATATATATATATATATATATATATATATATATATATATATATATATATATATATATATATATATATATATATATATATATATATATATATATATATATATATATATATATATATATATATATATATATATATATATATATATATATATATATATATATATATATATATATCCACAATGAAAATGTGGATAAGATAAATCTTGATAAAATCCGGAAAATGGAAACAACGGAGCACCTTGCTGGTTTTATTCAAGACATCTTCAGAGGCAACTCTGCTATTTCCATTTACCGTGCAGATTTTATCAAAAATAAATAATATATATATATATATATATATATATATATATATATATATATATATATATATATATATATATATATATATATATATATATATATATATACATATATCATATACATATACATATATATATACATATACATATATATATATATATATATATATATATATATATATATATATATATATATATATATATATATATATATATATATATATATATATATATATATATATATATATATATATATACATATGTATTGTGACCTCCGTTAACGAACCCAACTGCTCCAGAAGGTTGTTCGTAAACCTAAAGTTGTTAACCCAAACCATTGTTTCAATGGGTTTTTGGGTAGTGGTTCCAGCTCACCGAGAAATTTCCTAAATTCAACAAAAATGGTAGAAAAGTTCACTTACTTTGAGGTGTGTATGTAGAAGGCTCCTGGATGATGATGATGATGATGATGGGATTTAGAATGGGGTGGAGGAGAAGGAGAAGAGAAGGCATTGGGTGGAAGAGAAGTCATCCCATGGCTCCATTTCACCATAAAATTTTAGCTCTCTTGGTAATTCAAGATTATTTTTTAAATCAACACTGCACTGCATTATATATTGTCAATATGTAAAATATATTTCAAATGACCAATAATTTGCTTGAAAACACAGAAAAAAGTGTTTAGTTGAAGAGAGTCTCAAGCAAGATGTTACCTCCGAAAACAGAGAGAGACTAACTCCTGTTTGCTGTGTTAAGAGGCTGGATGCCGCATTATTAAACTAGTCACTTTACCTTCAGTTATGTTCAATAATTGTTAAAATGACTAAAATTTGAATATTAAACTTAAAATTATTGAATAGTATAAACTTCTTGATATTTACTAAAATAGTAAAATTTAAGCCCTAGAACCGATTAATGTATTGGGACTGATACTAAAGTTGGTTGCCCGTCAGTGCAAGCGAAAACATTTTGAGGTCGGTTCAAAGAACTTCGTTAACCTAATTTTTGTTAACCGAATTGAAGATCCTTAAGGAAGGCAGTTCGTTAATCGAAATTACGTTAACCGAGGTGTTCGTTAAACGAGGGGTCACTGTATATATATATATATAAAACGTAAGTGTAAATATGAAATAGCAATCAAAGATATTGTTATATGTGTTACATTTACTGCTACAGGAAGATGAACTGTTACATATGCTACACGTTGAGTTTATGTCCATAACCAATACTGAGTTATTAAAAGTTGCTGAAATATGGCAACAATCCTGAGAGCTGAAGTGAACATTAGTTTCTGCAAATGATTCGTTCACTGACCAGGGTGACAGGATGTGACTGCAGTTGTTGTGACTACTCATCAATCAACATCCTGTCAACAAAATTCTTTTCATGAGCGTGAATAACCCCAGTTACCAGCACCCCTACACCCCCTAGTGATGACAAATCGGGTCATGAGAGATGGTCTCAGCATTCTGAGGTATGGTGGTGGATGACCTAGTGTAACCAGGAGTGGTAGTTTGCTGTACCAGAAGTTTCGTGAAATTGACCCAGTCACCGACCTTGGAATCAGCTGGAGTGACACAAGAAGTCTACGGGATTGCGGCAACAATTTCACATTGTCAAGAAATTCTAGGATTTCTTCAACTGCTTCAAGCAAGGGAATAGGTAGTATCTAGGTATACATTAAATATATACACACATTTACATGTTCGGAGACATAACTCATATTGATAGGACATTGATAGGTTATTGTCATTGTTGTGAGCTACTTATTTTAATTTATACTGATGTGAAATAATTCCCAGGATTTATTAGAATACAGAAAATGTGGACATTTTCTTTTTGATCCTGGGAGGATTAGAATGTTCATAATTTTCAAACTACATATTTTAATGATGTCAAAGACATCTTCTTAAAATAAAATATGATAGTTCTACAGTAAAGTATCACAGACTGTAAATTTTCAGCCATGCCGGGTTGAGCCCTTCACAACTCAGTACCATTGCTTCCCGTTAAAATTAATGTTGTTGAAAGAGTCTTAAGCACCACACACTCATTCATCTAGCGTGATTACAGTAGCAAAGTTGTACATTGCTAAGAAGGTGCATTCTTAAGCACCTAAGTAGGCTTTAATTATTTCTGCCATGTTGCTTTTGATATTGGCAGTAATGTTTGTGTTTTAAGTCATGTTTTTTTTTTTTGTTGTTATGTCAGTGTCATCCAAGACGAAAATTTTTCATAACATTTTAACCCAAAGGCACTAAGTATAGGACCCTGTAGTAGATAAACCCTACAGTAGTAGAGTACCCAGCTTAGTGTCTACACCTATGTTTATAACATGGGGAGGGTTGTATAGGATGTACTGTACTCAGAGCTTATTTAGGCCTCACGGAGCTTGGCCGGTGACCGAGCGATGTAATGGCCCCTGTCTCATCAACAGAATTATTATATACATGGGTTATTTACATCTGATTTATATTCAGATTCACCCCCTGTAACTTTCCACTGGCTATATATGTTCAATGCATCGTGATAAGGTGTGCCCACGGGAAGTTGTGCCATACTATGCTGAGTAAAGGCATAAGTAGCCGCCTTCTGGCCACCTGAAGCGAATGGTAGTTTATAACCTTGACTAGAGGAAGACATTATTTGTGAGCCGCAGTGGATGGCTCCGTTTTCCCTCGAGGGGGAACGACGTACCTATTACGCTCTCCTCGATGGGTCACTACTCAAAATCACTCACACCAACTAATATCAAGCGGACGTTGATTCACGTTTATATACATAAACTCCGTCCCTTTCTCATCACACTCATAAATAGTGGAACTTATGGTTGATCTACACTCAGGAATCATATAAACATAATACTTTTCTAATAAAACAAGAAACTTCAATTGGGTTCGCGCTAAAGCCCAATATAATATATGTGAACCAACCTAGTTAACATTGGAATTAACCAGTCATTTCAGTACAGTATATACTGTATATATGTAATTTGTTATTGATCATAAAATTCCTTCAACAGTCGATTTCTGCTTGATGCCCTGAGTCTGAACTGGGAAACCCCATATCTCTATGTTTTCTGACGGAGCTCGCCTATTGGTTCTACCTGGACGAGTATGCTGAGGAGGATGATTCACTAAACAATCTCAAGTTTGACCCATTTGCACAACAACTGCTCAATGTAAGCATTACTGTTTATCCAGTTTGATTGTGATTCATTGAGGATAAATTATCAGTGTTCACTTAAAAATATGTCAGAAGTTATGAGAACAAGAATTTGGGATACTATTTTCTGGCTATCTTTAATTATAATCATTAACATTGGTTGTTAATGTAGTATGCTTCAAATTGAGCTCTTATTACAAAGGCATGTTGGTCTCTGTAAATATGTTTGTCAGTGTTTTAATCACGTGTTACTAAACTCAATGCTCTACCTGTATGTTCCTGGGCAGCGTAGGGGGTTTCAGCCACAGACTGGCACTATAGACGATATGCTTCAGGGCTTCCGTGACTTCAAACACCGTGTGCCTACATATGGTGGACTCTTGCTTAATCAGGATCTCAGTCAAGTCCTCCTGGTACAGGTATGTATGGTATAGTACACTAAGACAAGGTAGAGTAGGGCAGAGTGTAGTGTACAGTGAACCCTCAAAGATCCAGACTAAATGGGAGGACCATCTGTCGGAAAAAGCCCATTGTCCGAATCTTCCAGTGAATGTACTAAATGTATAAAAACGATAAATTTTTTCTATAAAAACACCAAAAATACAGAACATATTATCCTGATCACTGGGGTTAGTTATACTGTACAGACTTTTTCTTGTGAAAAAGCCATAATATTGAGCAACATATTACTGGACTCACTTTGTACAGTACAGTACAGTACTCAAATGTACTACACTAAAGGACTAAAATTTGTATCTCTTGTGCAAACTATGTGAAGTTTACACTCAAATTATTTGCTATCTTGCAAGAATTCCAGCAATGCAAGTTATATTCTGCTAAGTTTAATCTGTGACATTTTATAAGGTAGTAGGCAGCTACCAAACAGGGAGGTACTACCGCCTGGGAAGATATTGGAAGCCTAATGTGTTGTCTAATGGTAGACCCTGCTGCCATATGGCATCATGAAAATTGTGACCAAGTCCCAGGTTTCTGATCTGACTTTCTGCCTCATTTATACACAATTGCAGGGTCTCAATTGTCTCTCTTACTAATGACAACACAACTAATATAACCTTCCACACTCTTGATCTGCTCTATTCATTCTATTTCATCCTCCTACGTCAGTTGATATTAATTTTGAAGCGGGGCCTTCTCGGATGGGTCCCACTGGTCGGGAAGGTTAGACCCCAGGGCCGACCTGGTCATCATCGAACATCAGCCTCAACTGACACCACGGGCGTTGCTGGGGATCGGCTTTTTTCACTTAATTTTTACAACATTCGCGGCCTTAGATCCAATTTTCCTTCTGTGGAGCACCATCAATTAACCTCTTCCCCCGACCTCTTACTACTTTCCGAACTTCAACTGACCAAAGCAGCGTCACCCATACCTTTTCAAGTCTCCATCTACAACCTTTATACCTCTTTCCGTTCTAAGGGAGGTGTATGTGCCTAATGCACACGTACACCTATAGCTCAACTCACGGATCTTGAATCTTCCCTTTATGATGTCAATGATGTCATCTGGTCTCAAAATATCTCTCCCAACTATGACTATTTTCGTTTGCTATACTGTTCTCCCAACTCTACCAACTATATGGAACTCTTTGACTACAGTACAAGTCGATCTCATACCGACTAATGGGGGAAGGGTGTCCGTTTTATGCATTGTCCTAATAACCGATTTAGGTTAATATTGCATTATATTTCAAAGTCATTGTTTTCGCTACGATTTTATCCCACTTTCCACTGTAATATCGCATGTAATTTCAGCAAAATATTACAATTCCGTGAATGCATTATATCAAGCACAGTATGAATAGAATACCATTGTAATATAACAGTATTTTAACCAAAACTATTAAAAAACGAATAACATCTCAAGAACATCGGAAGCTTAGGTAAAGTCTTTTGTTTCCTTATGTATTTTATCCTATTTTACATTGAAATACATCATGTTTCAGCAAAACTACTATTTTTTTCCGAGAATATATTCATTCAGGCGCAGTTTAGGTAAAATATACGTGTGATGTAACAGTTTTTTAACTGAAAACGATTCGAAAAACACGTACCCTCTAGCCCTGTTCAAGGAGAGGACTGGGAGAAGCTGTTTGGTGCTGCAGATGATGACAAGGAAAATGATTTGGAGGGATTTTAATGAAAATATTCAGAAATATGGTATAGTAGTATTTATTCAAGTCAGTTAGGATAGAATATTATTGTAATACAACAGTTGTTTAACTGGAAACCAATCGAAAAGCGATTACGGTAACATCTTTTGAACAAAAGAAAGCGAAAGTCATTGTTTTCGTCACGATTTTATCCCAATTTCCACTGTAATACATACATCATTTCAGCAAAAATATTACATTTCCGTGAATGCATTATATCAAGCACAGTATGAATAGAATACCATTGTATTATAACAGTATTTTAACCAAAAACTATTAAAAAAAACGAGTAGCTTCTCTTGAACATCGGAAGGTTAGGTAAAATCTTTTGTTTTCGTCATGTATTTTATCCTATTTTACATTAAAATACATCACGTTTCAGCAAAACTACTATTTATTTCCGAAAATATATTCATTCAGGCACAGTTAAGGTAAAATATACATGTGATGTAACAGTTTTTTAACTGAAAACGATTCGAAAAATACGTGTGCCGTCTAGCTGATATTCAACAGCTGGTGGTGCGTCATGCGTCGTTGTAAACAATAGGAGGTTGAAGTAGATTACCGGGTATTATATTAAGTGTGAAATATCAAAAAGGTTTTTATTACCGGTATTTTTTGTAGATCAATGAGAACTGTTATACCGTATATGATATGATAAGTTAGCCTGTGCTAAGAACTTCAACATAGACTACTGAAAACACGTTGTAAGGTATTTTAGCCTATTGTAAGTTGGTGAGCTTCATTTGCTGAAGGAACTGCACAACTTTTCATTACTAATTGGTTCATATTTTACGTTTCCATTGTTTACTGGCAGTAAATGGTAAATATTTTTCATGTCTGAAGCTAAAAGTTGCATCCCCCCTACACTAGTGTTGGAGATGTTACATTTGACCAAAAAGACGCTGGTGTTTTATCCCAGCAGTGGGTGGACCAGCATTTTAGCTTAAGGTCATAGGTAATATTCACTACAAATCTTAAAAAAAAAAAGTTTGTTCAGATTTTGTCCGAATTATCCGAAATCCGGATTAAAGGGGTCCGAATTAACGAGGGTCAACTGTATTTCACTTCTTGCCATGAGTCGTTGCTGTCCACATACCCCAACACCGAGATCCTCTACTTAGGGGATTTCAATGTACATCACAGAGAGTGGCTTGGCTCTGCAAGGGATGACCCAGGTGGAGCTGAGGCACTCTCGTTTTCCTTACTTAATGATTTGGAACAAAGAATCAAACACCCTACACGCGTTCCTGATCGACACGATCAACTTGGTAACATTCTTGATCTTTGTTTTATCTCTAATCTCTAGCCCTATTCATACTCAATTTCTGCCCCCTTAGGGTCTTCTGATCACAATCTTATTTCTATTAAATTAAGCTGGGCACGACCACGTCCCCCACCACTCTCCAAACGTCATCTATGGCAATCCTTGAGAAAATTCTTCACCGACTTCCTTTGGAGATGAATGTTGCTTCTCCACTCGGGATGCCTTTGTATCTGCTGACAGCATTGCTGGGGTTATACAGGGTGGCATGAGTGCATTTATCCCATCTTCTACCAAAACTTTCACTTAACAAATATGGTTTGATCGCTCCTGCTCTCTTGCATGCAGGGAGAGAGACAGGGCATATCGAGCTATGAAACTATCTCCTCCTATTACCCACTCCTCTTTCATTACTTCTAGGAATCGTTGTAAGGCTATTCTTCGTAGGGCCAAGCGGAATTTCATAAAAAGAAAGACCGCTGTCCTGACTAATTCTTCCTCTAGTAAATCCTTCTAGTCCTCAACCAAAAACATCTGTAATAACTTCTGCACTCCTTTTCCTTCTCTCTTCTGACCTGATAACTCTACAGCCAACTCTCCCCTTGACAAAGCTAATCTTTTTGGCACCTTATTCTCCCCTAATTCCACCTTAGATGATTCCAACCCTATCCCTCCTACCCCTCCTCCTCCTACTGAACCTATGCACTTTCCTATAATCTCCACTCATAGGGTTGTTGGTGTGTTATCCAGGTTGTATGTAAGGCGCATGGACTGGACGGAATACCCCCTTGTGTTCTGAGGGAGTGTGCTGCAGCTCTGGCCTGTGCTTGCTCGCCTCTTTTGCCTTTGCCTCAAAACCCAAACTTTTCCTTCTTCTTGGAAGCATGCCTTGGTTTAGCCCACCCCAAAGAAGGGTGACCATTCTAATCCCTCTAACTATCGCCCCATTGCCCTAACTTCATCCCTCTCTAAGATTTTCGAAACCATCTTAAACTCTCATTTTCTCCGTCACTTTCAACGCTTTTCTCTTTTGTCGAATCACCAGTATGGCTTTCGCCAGGCGAGATCTACTGGTGATCTGCACCCATCTTTTGTCATTCTCTCTTAGGGATTATGGGGAAACTTTCGTCATGGCTCTCGACATCTCCAAAGCATTTGACAGGGTAGGCCACAAGTCATTGCTTTCTCACTTCCCTCTTATGGTTTCTCTCCCCCACTTTGTGTTCTAATCTCTAGCTTCCTTGAGAACTGATCCATGGCAGTTGTTGTTGTGGGATCGATCTCTCTACCAATAGTGGTGTCCCACAGGGTTCTGTTCTTTCACCTACTCTCTTCCTTCTTTTTATCAATTCTTTATTTCACACTACAACTAATTCTATCCATTCTTACGCTGATGATTTTGCTCTTCACTCTTCTTTCACATTTTCCCCTTCCCCCTAATTCTCAAGCTAGATCTGTTTCTAGAGCTCATATCTTTACATCTATCAATGCGGATCTGTGCAGCATCTCCGAATGGGGAGGTAGAAACTTGGTTAAATTCAATAGTAATAAAACTCAGTACAGTATTTACCAATTACACTTTCCAAATTAGATGATCTCCCACCAATCACATTTCAGGATGCTATTATTTTGCCGAATTCTAAAATAGATATGCTAGGCCTCACCATTTCCTCTTATATGTCATGGAAGCCACACATCCTCAACATTGCTAAAGCTGCCTCCCGGAAGTTGGGAATGCTGTACAGATGCCGTAGCTATTTCACTACTGAGCAGTTGCTTCATGTATATAAGGGATTCATTCGTCCTAACTTGGAGTACTGCTCTCATATCTGGGGTGGCTCTTCTTCTGTCTAACTGTTAGATAGGGTGGAATCAAAGGCAGTTTGTCTTATTAACTCTCCTCCTTTAGTTGACAATCTTTCTTCCCTTTCTATTCGCCACAATGTTGCTTCACTCTCTCTCTTTTACAGGTACTTTAACGGGCAATGTTCGGTGGATCTCGCATCCTGTGTACCGCTGGCAAGGCCGTGGGCTCGTAACACACGTCTTGCCCGCGGTGCCCACCGTTTCTCTATGGATGTTGGTCACACTAGAATAACCCGTTATAGTACATCCTTCTTTCCTCACACAGCCAAACTGTGGAATACTCTGCCTTCTTCTGTGTCTCCGTACTCATACAATCTGTCTCACTTTAAAAGCTGGTTTTCCTGCACCTTCACAGTGTAGATTAATATAACCTTTTCATTTGCTATTTTTAATTTCTCTATTCCTATTTTTTCGCCCCCTAGGCCCCGTTGTGGGTCGTTGACCTGTGCCCAGGTAGGCTAAGCCCCATTAAAAAAAAGGGGGTTGGAGTCCTAAAGCTACCTCACCCTGTTTTGGGAATGCTTCTTAGGGAGGTTTCTTAACCCAAAACCCCAAATTTTTTGCCTGAATCTTCTGAAATCTGGATTTACAGGGTCCGAATCTTCAAGGGTTCACTGTAGTACACTAAGATGAGGTAGAATTAGGCAGAGTGTAATATGTCACACTTGGACAATAATGGAACAAAGCAAGACAATAGGTTTGGGTTTTGAGAAAAAGTTAGGTTAGTGCCAGAGCTTATTGTACCTTCATTATTCTAGATATAATATGTCAACCTTGACCTTTGAAATTTTATTGTGTCCTCCATCTCAAACTTTCGTGCTACTTTCCTGCTACCAAAGTGCAATGTTTCTTCATCATTATTAAGTTACCTTTTCTTTTATGCCAAAACTTGTGTGAAATCAAAGAAGCTGAAATTCTGTTCTTTCTCTGGCAGGGATTTTGGCACCGAGCTTCATGGGGCTTCCCGAAGGGCAAGATCAATGTGGACGAGGAGCCCTACAAGTGTGCCATCAGAGAAGTTAGTTGTCATTTATAATTATTATCAAAATATAAACTTGTACCCACAGTATAACTAGGTCCATTTTAAGATGGAATGTATATGTAGGATATTTCTACCAGAACCTTGTGTAGTAATATTTTTGTTATCTTTTGCACTCTTCAGGTACTGGAAGAAACTGGCTATGATATATCTCCTCTTATTGACCCAGTTGTGTACTTGGAAACATCCATCGGGGAACAGTTTGTGCGGCTGTACATTATACCGGGAGTCTCTACCGCCACAGAATTTGTGCCACGGACCAAGGGAGAGATTAAGCAACTCAAGTGGTTCCCCATTAACCAGCTGCCCTCGCACAAGAATGACCGCAACTTTAACAAGTTGAATGGCTCGACCAACATGTTCTACATGGTAATGCCATTTGTCAAGTGAGTATCACCTTCTTGGAAATGATACGTCATATCCACTTGAAATATATTGGTAAGTTTGCATTATATAGTGTAAGGTACTTAATGTATAACTATACACAACATGTCCAGTAATTTTTTAAAGTAGTAAAAGACTCAGATCAGTAAATGAATAAAGCTTGATTACAAAACAACCTATAATCCTGGACCTCTTCACAAATACTGTGGGTTCTTGTTATGTGTATAATGATAATATGACTAACCCCCCTTATTACATAGGTAATAAGGGGGGTTTGGTTCCTAACTAGTCATGTTATGTTACATTTGCTGGATAATCTGCAATAAAAAGCACAAAACCCATATAAATCATATATATTGTACATATATGCCTTAACCCCCTACAACCCGGTTGAAGTTCCGGAACGCGCACCTTTTCTAGCCATTGTTTGAATGCCCATCGCGGGTTATCAGTTTCCAGCATGACTATTTGGTGGTCACGCCACACGCAGGTTAGCATGGGTGGACTCGGTGCGGTTAGTACGCATTAGCCTGTTGCAATGGAGAGCCGTTTGTCCATTTTATCATTTTGTATCAAAGTAATATTGCTAAAAGTAGTGTAGTTGTATTGTAGTTTAGCATTACTGAAATATAATGCTATGATTATGTTATAAACGTATTTATTTGTGGAATTATTGTTCCGATAATTATTGATATGCATAACTGTACTTGCTCTCACAAACACAAAGACAATCAGACAGCCTGGCGACAGACTGCTTGTGTGTCGCCGAGCACTTTTTATGAAAAATAATGCAAATAAAATAAATTCTAAAATAATTATTTATTGGAAATAAGTATTATGATCAGTAAATATATGCATTACTGGCCATCTCGGATACAAAGGAAAGCAGAAAATAGCCGGTAAGTGTGTAAGTGACCATGAGCGTTTGCCATCAAAACAACACTGTCCCCTTATTTCCTTCACCACTGCGGCCCCAGGGAAGTTTCTAGAGGGACAATATATAGTTTTCTTACTTCTTTTTGATTATTTTATAATTCAAAAGGTTACAAATTACCCCCCGCGTGGTGGGTATGTCCTGCGGCACCCTAGCCCAGGGCGTAGGGGTTAAACATTGCAGCCTCCGCTCCTCCGCGGTTTGCACTAGTGGTTGCATGGGGAGCAAGGGAGGTTGTGTATGTGCGTCTGACAATTTCCACTACTGGCTGTGAGGGGATCTCTACGGTGGCGTGGGAGAGTTTCACGCCTTCTCCTATACAGTATTATGTATCTGCATATACAGTGGTCCCTCGGTTAACGAACACAATTTGTTCCACAGAGTCGTTCGTTAACCTAAAATTTCGTTAACCGAATCCATTGTTTCAATGGGATATTGTGTAATTGGCTCCAGCTCACAGAAAAGTACATTCAAAGTAAAAAATAAATGCAGTAAAGTACACTTACTTTGAGGTGTGTATGTAGAAGGTTCCTGGTTGATGAAGATGATGGGAATTAGAAGTGGGGATGGAGGAGAAATCACCATTCAGGGGACCCATGCTTGGTGCAGTAATTTCGCCAATAACATTTTAAGTTCACTCGGTGTAATTCAAGATTATTTTATTTCAATCAACGCTGTACTGTGCTATATATTATCAATATGTTAACTAAATTTTAGAATGACCAATAATTTTAATGTAAAAATGCAAAAATATTCAAGACACCAACAAAATTAAGTTCACTCCTCTGTAAACAAAGCCAAACTGACGTTTGGTGGGTGAGTCAAGCGGCTGATGGGCACACAAAAAACTAGTTCCCTGTACTGCATATATTATCAATATGTTAACTAAATTTTAAAATGACTAATAATTTTAATATAAAAAATGCAAAAATATTAAAGAGCACAACTTTCTTGATATTTACTCCACTGGAAACAAATAAATATAGAACAGATTACTGAATTGGCAGACTAGCCCATCAGCTGATGCTCACAACAAAACGTGTTCTTCGTAAGGATTTCGTTAATCGAAGTTTTGTTCGTTAACCGAATTGAAGATCCTTATGGGAGGTAATTCGTTCACCGAAATTTTGTGAATCGAACCGTTTGTTAACCGAGGGACCACTGTACCCTGGTTTATTTGTTAATCAGTTGTGTAGGTATACAAGTAGACAAATTGAGCCATTATTTATTACTCAAAGGTAATAAATAATGATGTTAAGAATGTATCTTTATATCAAATGAAGATTTACAGATAACTTTCTTTTCATATTTGCATCTCTTAACATCGGTGGCAACATTGTAGCCAAATTAGACTCGTCACTGTAACCACAGGGCTACTGGGCCAAGCTGTGAGCTGTTTTGGTTGTTTTCAACTCGTATTTTAAGGTAGACATATGCAACTTTCTTAATTTATTTTTATTCAATTACATGCACTCACCATCTTACATACATACTGTGAAAAAAAGTAAAATAAATATTTGTCATAAGGGCAAACACATAAAGTGAATACTGTATACATTTCTTTGCACATGAGTTAGCTGGCTCAGTGGGGGAGTGGGAGAAGGGCTCTGTGTATTGGGGAGGGGAGAGCGTTGCTAGGGAGTTGGTGGAGGTAGAGGCTCTGCTGGTCTGTATTGCTATGGCGAAGCAGGGATTATATGCAAATGGCGACTGTGTTAAACATTCATTTGGCTTTTATTTACTGATTTGGCAATACGTACAGTATTTTTTGTTGTACCTTATTTATTGGTATTATTATTTTTATTTGTTCCTCACATTTACTGGTTCTGTATATTATTTTAAGAGAACTATGGCTGCAGGAGGAAAATACACACAAAATTTTTTCCGAAATACTCCCTGCTGAAATGGGGAGCGAGTCTAATATGCTGTAAAATGCGGTACTATGCAGTGTGTTTTAGTGACCCTGTTGTAAGGTGGTTTGTTGAAAGCTGATCATATGAGAATCTAATACTGAATCAATAAATAAACCTGATGAATGTGGCAAACCCCGATCAGGCCGCCACCCCCAGCCTGCTTACATACACAATGTCTTAGCTTTTGTTAGGCCTACAGCAAATCTGATTAGACCACTATTGTTCTTTTCATAAGATTTTGTTTAACCTTACCCATTATTGTACTACATATACAACAAAATTACTTAAATGTGATACAGTACTTATCACGTTTTGATGTACAGTGTAAGTGCATCAGCTGATGGGCTAGTCTGCCAATTCAGTAATCTGTTCTATGTTTACATTCGTTTCCAGTGGAGTAAATATCAAGAAAGTTGTGCTCTTTAATATTTTTGCATTTTTTATATTAAATTTATTAGTCATTCTAAAATTTAGTTAACATATTGATAATATAGACAGTATAGCTATAGGTCGTGTTCAGTGTGACATGGGTGAAGTCATCTGCATATTGAAGTTCAGTAATGGAAGCTGCGGACACCTTTGTTCCTGCCTGGAGTACACACACATACACACCCATGCTCTTCATTTTTCTTATTTCATAGCAACTTGCCATCGCCATGGATATGGACTGCAAAATTTCTATTACTATTTAATTTATATTAAGCCATGGAAAAATCATTGCTGTGCAGTAGACTCGCAACTTACATGAGGGTTACGTTCTTGGGACCTCGCGTAAAGTTAGAAACACTCCTAAAAAAACCCCTGAATCGCCCTTAAATCACTATATATATATATATATATATATATGTGTGTGTGTGTATATATATATATATATATATATATATATATATATATATATATATATATATATATATATATATATATATATATATATATATATATATATATATATATATATATATATATATATATATATATATATACATATATATACATACATATACACTAGAACTGGCGGGGAACATGGGGGAGGGGGGAGGTGATGTTTGTGACAGTTGGTGCCAAAGGTCTAGTGGTATTTATTTATCTGTCCTTTAGAGTGACTTTAAGTTTTTCTCTTATAAAATGTCACTGAACTGACCTGGGAGAATAAAACTTACATTGCTGTGATTCTTGTAAGATACTGATTAATTTGAATATAAACATGTTATATTTTTCAGTAGACAAAAATTTTAGTAATTATTTAGTACATTTGAGTGCATGTACTGTACAGTACAGCTTTGCTCTTAGGACAGTGTGTGCATGTAAATGAGTAAAAATAAATGAGAAAGGTTGGCTTGTGTTTGGGCATTATGAGCGAGTAAGAGAGAGGTTTAATCGCACTAAATTGACACACACGAGAGGCAGGTGTTACTCTGACAATACCCATGCAGCAACTGAAGACAGAGAGGTGGGATGGCGGGGGTGGAGCTTTGGCAGGCTAGCGTTTGACGCACTTATGACCCATTTTGAAAATTTTGAGCTTGTAATTGGAAATTGTAACCTAACCCCCGGGGTAATCCGCGTTTGGTTGAAATCGCGTAAGAAAAATACGTGAAAGTTACGAGTCTATTGTACTCTAATGTGGCTTCAAAATAAAGAAAATATAATGTAAAATTATAAAATAAGAAAAACTAAGAGCATCGGTGTGTACAAGTGGGAAAATGAATGTGTGTTGTGGTTTAGGGCTATAACTGCGTGGCTGCGCTCCCTCCCAATGTGACGTCGTGGCATACACACAGCCAGTGTGGAAGCCACATATCTGTGAGTCAGCTGGTTGACTGCCTGAACTGTGTCATGTCACCCAGAAGATGGTTTGAGTGGAAGGACCTATTTTTTTTTTTACATAAAAAATGTGCTATAGGTACAGGGTAGGGTATTGTATTTTATGATATGTTATGTACCGATTTTGTGGTTCATCATAGCAATAAATATGGCAGCTCAAACTTACGATTCTAGCTGATTTTATATATATATATTTTTTTTAATTATTTCATTTTGGTACCAGTTAGTTGACTGCCGGTTGCCCAGATACTGGATAACTTGGAGTCTGCTGTAAATGTACAGTACTGTATAGCAATTATATAAATAATGAGGACCCCCTGTACAGTATTTAGAAAAAAGACAGCTAACCTGTTGACTGAGGGATGTATTGAACTATTATTTTCCTATTCCTTGATGTTTCTATGTCCATGTATATAACTGGCAGAGTAAAGATAATTTTTTCTTCTCGTAGGCCGCTTCGAGAATGGCTTGCCAGCCGTCATCGTGCGACAGTGAATGGAACAAGCAACAATGGTGGGAGGGAAGGCCGACGGCGTCATCGCAGTTCTACAAATAATTCTGCAGACCACCACCAGAGTTACAACCAGACTCGACACAGCCACTCACCCGCCACAACCTCTGACACTAATAAACGTCCACATCCTTCCTTGGAGGTTATTAGAAAACAACAAAACACAGCCTTTACTTCATACATAGAGGTTAGTATGTGTGACAAAATGAAGATGGCAGTATACACATATGATGGAGGACTATGGTGTGCATGCATGAGTGTATAATGGGTGGATAGAGCTGGCAATGAACAAAGAAGGGTTTAGGAGACTCAGCTGGACCATTGTATAGGATAAGTTTGTTTATAAGAGTTATTTTATAGTGATATTTTGGGCTCAAGTACTGTATACAGATGAGCCAGGATCAAGTTTGGGCTGTCATACTCAGGCTTGAGATGCACATCTGATCCGATGCTGAATCTCTTCATTGATGTCCGCGGTAGTGGACAGGTGGGAGCCGAGATACCGAAAGAGGGTAGTACCGTTCAGCTGGATCGATGGTGGAGATGTGGCTGAACCAGGGGCAGGCTGAAAGAGAATCTGAGTCTTACGTACATTCACCTCAAGGCCAAAGTGTGCATACTCATCTGTGTAGGTGTTCAGGATCTCCTGTAGGTCGCATTCAGTGTGAGCGCCAAGGGTGAGGTCGTCTGCATACTGAAGTTCAGTAATGGAAGCTGCTGACACCTTTGTTCTTGCCTGGAGTCGTCTTATGTTGAAAAGATCCCCCTTCACCACAGACTCGATGTCCACCCCGCCAGCTAAATTGGCACTGGCACGAGCAAGGAAGCCAGCCAAGAAAATGGAAAAGAGAGTTGGTGCCAGAGCACATCGTTGTTTAGCCCCTGTTTGGATGGGGAAGAACTCAGACTGGGTGCCATTGTGCAGGACACTTCCGTTCATACCATCGTGGAGTTGCCTCACAATGGCGATGAATTTTGGTGGGTAGCCAAAATGGCTGAGGATCCACCAGAGGGTTTCCCTGTTGACCGAGCCGAAGGCCTTGGTTAGGTCAATGAAAGCCATGTACAGGTCACGATGCTGTTCTCTGCACTTTTCCTATATCTGACGGGCAGCAAAGATCATGTCAATGGTGCCACGTGATGGTCTAAAACCACATTGAGATTCTGGGAGGAAGTTTTCCGCCTCAGGAAGGAGTGTTTAGGAGGATTCGGGCGATAATCTTGCCAGCTACGGACAGCAGCAAGATCCCACGGTAGTTGCCAGTCTGACCGGTCTCCGTTGTTCTTATAGATATTGACAACGGAGGCACACACACACACACACACACAAAGGAATTAGCCAATTAACCATTGGGGTGGGGGGTGTCGAAGTAACTTTTACCACCAATAGACTCCTTCTCCCTCATGCTGGGAGGAGGTGGGGAGATTAATGCGTATTTGGATTATGAAAGGCAAAGGGGTTGTATTTTTTTTTGCTTATAAAATGGCACTGACTTGATTAAGGAGAATGCAGCTTGTATTGCTGGAATTCTTGTAAGATAGCAATTAATTTGAGTATAAACATCCCCTATTTTGCACCATAACATAATAATTTTAGTAATTGACTTAGTACATTTGAGTACAGGTTGTGATAATTTATGTGGTTGCAGTTTCAAAGCTTTGTGACATCACTAATGTATAATGAGTCTCCATATCCCCTGGTATATTCATTAATCAGTTGTCTAAGTGCAAAAGTAGCCCTGTCAAGTTATCATTTATCAAATAACTTTAAAATAGAACTTATAATGTAAAATGTTGTAAGACAATGGTTTTGTAGTGCTGTTAATGTGTGTGCTGTGTTAGTGTCTTGGCATGTCACCTTACCACCTGACTCCTAAACAAACTTTTCATCAACTTCTTCAAATCCTACAATGTGCTTGGCAAGCTCAAAACACACACACACACATGGGAATTAAGACAACAAGCATCCAGTGATGGTCTTGCTGTGTGACTGCATGGAGGCGAATTAAAAGATCAGCTGCTGAGGAGCTTATCGCTTGGCAACACTGGTGCATGTTACCCTCTCCTTTCCACTCCATCTCTCTAATCACCTACACCTTTCTCACTCCATATTTTAATGTGTTATGTAATGTAATGTTGAAGGGATACAACTTTGCTTATTTATTCTTATCACAATCTCCCAAAAAATACTTAGGTTTCGTGTTTATTCAAGACATCTTCAGGTCATGAGACCCACTAATCCCCCACCCAAGAAAGGGTGATCTGACATTCCATCAGAAGGTCAGTAATATGAGACCACTAATCCCCCACCCTACCTCGACCTGACATTGAGTCAGGTCAGGTCCCCCCAAAAAGTACTTTAACTTTCATCTTTATTCGAGACAATTTCAGAAAATTCTCTCGATTTTCAACCTCGGAAAATTTTTTCCTAATGCCGGAAACTTTTGGAAACTTATGGCTTTGGGAATGATTTCCCGAGCAAATTTCAATTCCGGCTATAAAGTAAATAAACTCAATTTAACTTTCATCCACCAAATTTGTATGAAAATTGTCTGTTTGGTGGCCATCTTGAATTCTCTTCTAGACTCACTTTGTATGCACTACAGACAAAGATATTTGATGCACTGTGGTCTAGACATGAGTTTAACGACATTGTGATTGTAACCCTCTACAGTATTACCCCGCTTTACGCGGTTTCACTTTCCGCGATGTCTCATTTACGCGGTACCTTGCCAGAACCGGACTTTCACTTTCCTCGGTGCATCTACTCATATACGCGGTGAAGTATAATTTTTTATTTAGCTCATAAAATTCATACAAATTACCCGGCCAGAATATAATTTACATTGCTGGAATTCTTACAATATGATGATCATTTTGAATATAAACATCATGGATTTTGCATTAGACATACAAATTTTAGATCTAATGTAATAATTTGGTTTACACAAAGCAAATATTTTATCGTTTGTGCAAAATATATGAAGTTTACATTCAAAATATTCCCTGACCTGCAAGGAATCCAGATATGTCAATTATATTATCCTAACTTTAGTCTGAGGTATTATTTATTACTAAAAATGTAAATATACTGTTTTCTCCCAAACATTTCTCTGGTAGGGAGGGAAGGTTGGGACCGACCGACCCAGCTGGCATGGTGTGAAGAGGTGGGGAGGCAAGGTGGGGTATTTTGATTGACAGATAGTGTCGTGAAGAATATTTTTATTTTTTTATTAACTGAAGATATTTGTTTTAGCTCATAAAATTCATACAAATTACTCGGCCAGAATATAATTTACATTGCTGGAATTCTTACAATATGATGATCATTTTGAATATAAACATCATGGATTTTGCATTAAACATACAAATATTTTAGATCCAATGTAATAATTTGGTTTACACAAAGCAAATATTTTATCTTTTGTGCAAAATATATGAAGTTTACATTCAAAATATTCCCTGACTTGCAAGGAATCCAGAAATGTCAGTTATATTATCCTAACTTTAGTCTGAGGTATTATTTATTACTTTACATTAAAATCTAGTGTTTTCACCCAAACATTTCTCAGAGAGGTAGGAGCCAGTGAGCTGGGAAGAGGGGGGGGGAGTTGAGTCCATTATGTGAATGGACATTAACCTGGCGACTGTATTTCTCTTAAATATTAATTGTGTGAGCATACCATCATAAAATTAAGATGTTATTTTTACTACAACATAGGTGTTGTGTCGGAAAAAGTGGAGTTTGGGGGTCGGGCCAGTCTCTATTGGAATTAATCCCATATGTTCTGTTGTTCACTTTACGTGGTTTTCACTTTACGCGGTACCCCGTGGGTTCAGTTGACCGCGTAAATCAGGGTACTACTGTATTTAACAACCAATTTTGAATTGTTTACTTTCTCTGGGAAATTTTTAGAAACAGCATTAGTAGGGACGGTGGCCATCATCAATGGAAGTTAGCTGTAGGGACGGTGGCCATCATCAATGGAAGTTAGCTGTAGGGACGGTGGCCATCATCAATGGAAGTTAGCTGTAGGGACGGTAATATAAATGGTAGTTAGCTGTAGGGACGGTGGCCACCATAAATGGAAGTTAGCAGTAGGGACGGCCATCATCAATGGAAGTAGCTGTAGGGACGGTGGCCACTATCAATGGAAGTTAGCAGTAGGGACGGAAGCCATCATCAATGGAAGTTAGCAGTAGTACTGCACACTATAAATGGGAAGTTAGTTGTAGGACGGAAAAATATCATCAATGGAAGTTAGCTGTAGGGACGGTGGCCATCATCAATGGAAGTTAGCAGTAGGGAAGGTGGCCATCATCAATGGAAGTTAGCTGTAGGGACGGTGGCCATCATCAATGGAAGTTAGCAGTAGGGAAGGTGGCCATCATCAATGGAAGTTAGCAGTAGGGACGGTGGCCATCATCAATGGAAGTTAGCTGTAGGGACGGTGGCCATCATCAATGGAAGTTAGCAGTAGGGAAGGTGGCCATCATCAATGGAAGAAGTAGTAGGATCAAAAATATCATCAATGGAAGAAGCTAGGATGTAACATCATAAATTAGTTGTAGGGACGGTGGCCATCATCAATGGAAGTTAGCTGTAGACCTGTACATCATCAATGGAAGAAGCAGAAAAGGTAACAACATCAATGGAAGTTAGCTAGGACGGTATTAATATCACGGAAAGTTAGCAGTAGGGAAGGTAATATCATCAATGGAAGTTAGCAGGGACGGTGGCCATCATCAATGGAAGAATAGGACGGTAATATCATCACGGAAGAAGAGTAGGAAGGTACATCAATGGAAGTTAATTAGGACGGTAACATCATAAATGGAAGTTAGTCAGGGGACGGTGGCCATCATAAATGTTAGCTAGGACAGTGGCCATCATCAATGGAAGTTATTGTAGACTAAAAATATCATAATGGAAGAAGGGATTTGCACATCATCAATGGAAGTTAGCTAGGACGGTGGCCACTGAAGAATAAAGTTAGCAGGACGGTAACATCATCACTGGTTAGCTGTAGGACTGTAATATCATCACTGAAGTAGCAGTAGACTTGCACATCATCAATGGAAGAAGAGTAGGGACGGTGGCCATCATAAATGGAAGAAGGTAGGGACGGGTGGCCATCATAAATGGAAGTTAGCTGTAGAGAAAATATCATCAATGAAGTTAGCTGTAGGACGGCCATCATAAATGTGAAGAAGGCTGTAGGACGGTGGCCATCATCACGGAAGTTAGCTAGGACGGTGGCCATCATCAAAGTAAAAGCAGTAGGACGTACATGAACACGGTTTCAAGTTAACCAACCTAATTCTCTCTCTGGAATGAATTGTGTTCGTTTACCGAGGGACCACTGTAATCGGTTCTAGGGCTTAAATTCCTTACTATTTTAGTAAATATCAAGAAGTTTGGACTATTCAATAATTTTAAAAGTTTTCTATTAAATTTTTTAGTCATTTTAACAATTATTGAACATAATTGAAGTATAGGAAGCTAGTTTTTTGTGCGCCAAACAGCCTGTCAACACACCAAACAGGTGCCAGTCTCTGTCTTTTCAGTGGAGGTAACATCTTGCTTCAGACTCTCTTCAACATAAACACTTTTTTTCTGTGTTTACAAGCAAATCATTGGTCATTTTGAAATATATTTTACATATTGATGATATATAACACAGTGCAGTGTTGATTTAGAGAAAATATCCTTTATTTACAGCAATTAAACTTAAAATATCACATGTTGAAATTGTTTTTGAATCCAGCATGGGTCCCAAGAAATAAAAAAAAAATTATTTCAATTCAGGTGAAACTAGAAATTATTAGAAAACATGAAGAAGGCATTAGAACAAATGTGCTTAGCAAAGAATATGGCATGTCGACATCAACTGTGTCGACAATTCTTGCACAGAAAGGCAAATTCAAGGAAGTGAAAATGAGACAAATCTACCAGTGTTCAAAGGTAGGTCCCTAATAGCAGAAACAGAGAGGTTACTTCTCATTTGGATTAGGGAAAAACAGATGAAAAGTGATTCAGTTTCTACTGAATTTATTTGTGAAAGAGCCAGGGAAATATACTAACACTTAAAGGTAGATCAACCTGGTTCTTCAGGCACAGAATTTGAAGATTTTAGGGCCAGCAAAGGCTGGTTCGAAAAATTTAAGAAAATAAGTGACATATTTAGTGTTGTTAGGCATGGTGAAGCTGCCAGTGCTGATAAGGAAGGGGCAGCAAAGTTTTTCAGTGGAATTTAAAGAACTGATGGTTACAGAAAATTATCTTCCACAGCAAGTGTTCAATGTGGACGAAACTGGGCTGTTCTGGAAAAAGATGCCCAAAAGAACATTCATCACCAGAGATGAAGCCTCTTTACCTGGGCATAAACCCATGAAAGACCGTCTCACTCTATTGCTTGGTGCCAATGCTTCAGGGGATTTCCGACTGAAGCCTATGCTTGTCTACCACTCTTGAGAACCCCTGGGTGTTCAAGCAACAAAAAGTGGTAAGAGGACAGCTTGGAGTTTATTGGAAGTCCAACCGTAAGGCATGGGTGACAAGACAGCTCTTTAATGAATGGGCTGTTGAGGTGTTTTGCCCTTTTGTGAAGAGCTACCTAACCACCAATAAACTCCCTTTAAAGGCTCTTCTCCTTATGGATAATACCCCTGGTCATGACCCTCAACTTGCCAGAACTTTGGAATCTCAATTTGACGTTGTCAAAGTGTTGTTTTTGCCTCCCAACACTACATCAGTCATACAGCCAATGGGCCAGAATGTGATCAGCACATTAAGAAGCTGCAGGGGACCGGTGGTAGATGCGGTACCGTTCTTGCCTCGCAAGCGAGATGTCACGGGTTCGATTCCCGGGCCGATGGAAGTTGTCTGGACATACTTCCTATCCCCCATTTGTCCCTGTTCACCTAGCAGTAAAGTAGGTACCTGGTGTAAATCGAAAGTTGTGAATTCGTATTCAGGGAAAGTTGTTGGAGCTTCCAATAACTTTATGACATAAACCACTGACTCTTCAGGTTTCTACGCCCTTGACTCTTCAGGCTTCTACGCCCTTAACTCGTGAGACATAAAGGCAAGCATGAACTTAGCATGCTTCCCTGCTGGGCGCTGTAAACGCTTCTGCGCTTCACCTTACACAAGGATGTAGGGGGGTGCCCAATAAATAAATAAAATAAAAAATAAAAAATTAAGAGGTTGTACATAAAGAATATGTTCAGGAGGTGTCATCAGGCAACTTCCACTGATCCTGAACTAACACTGGCACAGTTCTGGAAGACACAGTTTAACATCCTGGAGGCTGTGAAATTGATTGTGTCCTCATGGCAAGAAGTCTCCACTAGATCCCTCAATTCTTCATGGAAAGCACTGTGGCCATCAGTAGTCCATGATTTTGAGGGATTTCAGGATGAAACAGAGTTGCACCAGGAGATTGTGTCCATTGGTCAGTCATTGGGCCTTGAAGTGGAGGAGGATGATGTAGAAGAGCTTGTGATGTCTCATGAACAGGAACTTACTCCTGAAGACTTGCAGCAACTGGATGAAATGTTAGAGGCTGACAGTGGTGAGGAGGAAACAGAAATTGATGACCATATGTCAACTTCAGAGTTGAAAGATGTTGTTCACCACTGGGAGAAGTTCAGGAAACTGGCTTCAAGGCACCCAGATGTGGAAAATCTGAACTAGCTTTGTGTCATGTTGAGGACACAGTGGTCTCCTTCTTCAAAAATCAGTTAATGATGAGGAGGAGAGATGCCCCACAGACAAAAATTGACAGTTTTTTTAGTAAAAGACAGCGGGAACAAAATGCTAGCCCTCATCCTTCCACTTCAAGAAGGAGAGAGGATGTTCCTGGTGGAGAATCTGTCAGTCCAGAGGTTCCTGACATTTTCATGGAAGGTGATTCACCTCCCAAGAAGCAGTAAAATGCTTCTCCTCCATCTCCACTTCGTTCTCTTCTCCCTTCTCCTCCTCCACCTCCCACTTACAAATTCACATCAGCATCATCATCCAGGAGCCTTCTACATGCACACCTCAAAGTAAGTGTACTTTACTACCTTTTTTTGTTGACTTTAGGTAATTTTCGGTGAGCTGGAACCAAATACCCAAAAACCCATTGAAACAATGGTTTCGGTTAACGAATTTTTCGGTTAACGAGCAACCTTCTGGAACGAATTGTGCTCGTTAACCGAGGGACCACAGTATCTTTTAACTACAGTAAGATCTTGTATTTCGTGAGTACTGTAGACTGGAAAAATTGCACCAAATTCAAATTCACCAAATGCAAATACATAAACTAATGGGAATAATAGCAATATAGACTGGCCACTCTACATCAACCTCTGATTTTCCCATTTATAACCTCCAAATGATACAAATTCTGCCTTTATTGACTTGATTGTGCTTTCCAGAAACTAGTTTTTAGGCCTTCCTCAAGTAACTTAATCACACGCTGCTTATCCTGCATCGAGTACTTGGCAAACTTAACTCCCTTATGATAGTCCCTCTTCTCCTTTTCCTTATTTGGCCGCTTAGGTGGGTCTGTCCCACCCCCGCCAGCACCAGTAGGACTCCCAGTAGAGGTAGAGGCCATTATCTTGACTCGACAGGTGGTAGCACCACCCAAAAATGCACACAACAGCAGTCCGGGTGGTCGCCTGGATGGCGCGGGCTACAACACGATAGTTGCGCTCTTGTAAATTTCTTTTACATTCACCACCGGCAATTCAATCACCAGAATGCTTCTTGGAAACACTCTTCTTACCTTGTCTTTCCATATTCATCGTTAATACAACAAAATTGGAGAAAACAGCGAAAATCACGGAGCAATCGACAAAAACCACACGATTCAACTGATTACGTTATATAAACACAGAGCGCTGGTATAAACCGTTATTAGTCCTCACTGCGAAACAGTCTTTTTAATTATTCTTTTCATACAGTATTTAGGGGTAACAGCTAAACTTGAAAAATATAAATAAAAAATTTACAGAGTACCTCTCAAAAAACACTTCACAAACAAAAGACACGAATCAGTTGAACATGTGATGTCGAACGTGAACTGTAAACATTGCATAACCCCGCCCCACATTTAAAATGTTGAGGGTGGAATCAAAATATTGAGGATGGAATCGGGTTATAACCAACATTCGTATGCAAAAGTTCGCGTTTTACAAACAGCGTTCCCCTATTCATCAATCGCGTTACAACCAATTCACGTTGACAAAACAAGAGTTGTAGCAGAAATGACTGTAACTGGTATGAGGGCTGTGACGTCATTTAAGACGGTGGCCATCATTCAGCTGGCTGGATCTCGCGTTCAGCTAGCTGGATTTCGTGAAATTCACGATATTTTATGCCAGATATAAGACTTAGTTACATTAGGTAGCGCTCTCGAAATTAAAAAACGCGAAATGAAATTGTGCAAAATATGAGATCTTACTGTAGTTAAGGGTTAAGATGGAAATTGATCACAGTTGAGGGAGTGCACAATCCATTACAGGAGGAAGCCACAGGGCTGGCGAGACTACGTGTCACCACAGACAGCTCACCACGCATGAAAGAGACATCCAGCAAATCTAGATCTCGCAAGTCTCTATTTTCTGGTAATGATTTGTGTTACATATCCCTCTCTATATGTAGTGCTGGGAATAGCAGGGCTAACAATCTTTTAGCATCACTGTTAGTGACACAATTTTTTATATTGTTAGAAGAACTGGTAGGGGGCACTAAGTTTTTAGAGAAAAACAATTGCTAATTTTTTAAAGCCAATTGTACAAATAATTGGATTCCTGATTGCAACTCGAACTGCAACTTGTAATTTGTTGGAGACTTTGTGTTTGTGTGTGTAGTAAAGCAAGTTGTTGCATAACATTGACCTGGGCCAAAATAGTAGCAGGCACAGAGCCAGTGTGTTTTTGCATTTGTCTCTGGCCAGTCATAATTAGTCCAACAGTTGATGACATCAAAGAAAGACACCAGTGGATATGTAAATATTTTGAGAGGAAAATACTTAGACAAGGTGACCGGTTTACTATAATGAAGGTTTTTAGATTATGTACAATGGTGACGGCTCCTGTAACACACATTATCTCTCACTTACTCAACACACAGCATTACTTTTTGTTTCATCTATTTATCACAGGAGGTTTTTAGGTTCTTAGCAAATTTTTGGTGTTAACTCCCTTAGTTTTTAGGATGGCCACTCTCAGGTCAGTTAGGTTAGCTGGAGCTGGATACCTTCCTCCCACCAACCTAGTGTGGTTGAAAGATTTTAAAACTTATCTTCTGCATTGGAATGGAGAACATTAGTAAATGATGTATTTGATGGATTCTCACATCATAATGATTAACTTTTGTGTTTTGGTTCACAGAACACCAAGAAGAAAACCAGAAATTTACCTTCAAGAATAGAGGGAAGGGGCGGAACAAGGCCAACAGGGAGAGCCAGCCAGCAAACAGTGGAAATACCACTACCACCTTGGAAACAAAGCCCCATTACCATTCATATTCTTGGCATAATTTTCGTATTAACAAGAAGGAAGTTCTGGAGGCTGTTGAGACAGTTTGGAGTGAGGTAACACTGGCTTGTTAACTGTGATGCTCCAAGGATTTCTCATTACCAATCACAATTTGTTCAGATATCAGTTTTTACCTGTGGGTATATTCTGAATCCATTTGTATTCTGTTACAATGCTTTAACATATACACTTCACCAGATATTATATGAAGAGAAATTCTCCTTTTATTTTGAGGCCAAGCATTGGTACACACATTATTCTGCTTCTAAGTGTTCATAATTTTTTTCATTTGCTAATAAAATGTTAATATAGTATCACATTCATAAGCTTGACTATAAAAAACATTTATGGTCCCCTTGTAAATTTACAAATATCTTCAAAGATAACCATTTCTAGATAATAGAAAGTGGAAACTTATTATGACTAATGATAAAAACACTAGCTAGTTCTTGTCTAACCAGTGACACTGTAATTATTGAGATGCACAGGAGACTCTTCACCCTCTGTAGGGCAGAGGTTTCTCTCATCTGGCGTTACCCAGAATATAATACTAGTGTGTCCCGCTGCCCTCTAAAGGGATAATTAGGTGCAGAAACTGGGGACAGACCTTCGCTGGATAACTGTCACATGTAAAGATTAACTAGAAACACAAGAAACCATAATACAGCATCTGCAGTATTAATTAGGCCTATTATTTTATCTTTTTCCTTCGACCTGTGCCCGGGTGGGCTAATTCCCGTTAAAAAAGAAATAAATAAAATCCTCATAAAAGTGATTATCAGTCTACTCATAGAAGAAAACTCATGGGCTGCCTTGCCTTAATACAAAACATTTTAAGGAATTCCTTTAGTCTTTAGTATATGAGTGTAGCTTCAAAGAGTACAAGACATGTAAGGATGAATGACCATGGGGTTGTGGTCACATGTTGACCAGTCAGGTAGAGGCCTCATAACCAACATGTCCTTCTCTAATTTAGACTTCATATTCATTTGAACATTTTGGTGATGCTGAATTACTCAGCAATTATTTTACCTAGAGACCCAAATGTCCATGGGGTTGTGGTCACATGTTGACCAGTCAGGTAGAGGCCTCATAACCAACATGTCCTTCTCTAATTTAGACTTCATATTCATTTGAACATTTTGGTGATGCTGAATTACTCAGCAATTATTTTACCTAGAGACCCAAATGTCCAAATTACACCACAGTTGTCAAATTCACCCACAAGTCTCAACAAGTTGAAATTTGTGGTTCCGTGTGACAGAACACTAACTCAGGTGTAGCTCTAGGGTTTCTCTGTCTGAATGTTGTAGTACAGGTGGAAGTCAAGTGAGGTGAATGAATCTTTATCTCATACAGTAATACTTCTAATTTTTGTTCACATCCTCTGTACCATTTATCTTTTGTTTGGGTTTAGCTTTTTTGTCCTGTTCAAATTACTACATTGAATTGCTGAAACAAAAAAGTACTGTACCCGCCACCTCAAAAAATTTTCAGAATTTGGTGGCCATATTTGGACACCTTGCATCAGACCTTTTGGGTACTCTGACAAGGGTAAAAATTTGAAGTTGTTGAATTAAAGAGGTTCAAGTATCTCAACAATGGAATTACAGTGGTCCCTCGATTAACAAACGGTTCAATTAATGAAATTTTGGTTAACGAATTAGCTCCCATAAGGATTTTAGGAGAAACACGCTTTGTTGTGCGCATCAGCTGATCGGCTAGTCCGCCAATACAGTAATTGGTTCTATGTTTACATTCGTTTGCAGTGGAGTAAATATCAAGAAAGTTGTGTTCTTGAATATTTTTGCATTTATTATATTAAAATTATTGGTCATTCTAAAACTTTGTCATCCAAGCTCTGTCTACATAAAGTTTTTTAACTAATTATTTTGGCTCAATATATGTATGTTTATTAATTTATTTTTACTCATTTACATGCACACGCTGTCCTAAGGGCACAGCTGTACTATACATGTACTCAAAATAATGTACTAAATGATTACTTGGATTTTTGTCGACTGGAAACTATAGCATGATTACATTCAAATTGATCGCTATCTTATAAGAATTCCAGCAATGTAAATTATATTCTCCCCGGTCACTTCTGTGACATTTTATAAGTAAAAAACAAAAACTCAATCTGAAGAACATGAATAAACAAATAAATACTTCATTAGAACTTTGGCGCTAACTGTCAAACATGTCACCCCCCCAGCCAGGGTTTGGTGGTTTTAGGCTTTAAGTTTTTATCTTATATACATACATACAGTACAAGTATAGTGATTTAAGGGTGATTTAGTGGATTTTTAGGAGTGTTTCTGACTTTATGCATTTTTTGGCCTTACTTTGTATGTACTTTTTCTGTGAGTTGGAACCAATTACCCAATACCCATTGAAATAATAGATTCGGTTAACAAACAACTTTGTGGAACCAATTGTGCTCGTTAATCGAGGGACCACTGCAATTTGGAGGTATAGTACTTTAGTTATAGAAATCCTATATTTTTGAGTGAAAGCTCATTCTTCAGTTCTGCATTCTTTAATATGTACATTTTGCACAAATGTAAGACAAGTTGTAACCCTGAACTTCATAATGCTTCAGATTGACTTGTATACTGATGTGCACAGCACTGTGTATGTATATATATATATATATATATATATATATATATATATATATATATATATATATATATATATATATATATATATATATATATATATATATATATATATATATATATTTATTTCATATATATTTTTTATATATATATATATATATATATATATATATATATATATATATATATATATATATATATATATATATATATATATATATATGTATATATATATATATATATATATATATATATATATATATATATATATATATATATATATATATATATATATATATATATATATATATATATATATATATATATATATATATATATATATATATATATATATATATATATATATATATATATATATATATATATATATATATATATATATATATATATTATATATATATATATATATATATATATATATATATATATATATATATATATATATATATATATATATATATATATATATATATATATATATATATATATATATATATATATATATATATATATATATATATTTAAAAGTAGATGTGCTTATAGGTTGTTCCTTTGTAGTTCCTCATACACCAAGATTAACATTACCATTATTCTGGTGGGTGTGTCTCATAAGTAAGAAAAATGCTGTAACTGTAGGAAAAATCATTACAGTATATTAACAGACTGCTTCACTCACCTTCTCTTAAATGCCAAGAAACATTAACATATTACTTAAAAAATGATTATGATGGATTTGTTTCATAAATAGGAAAAAGACTAACTGTAAACTGAAAATATTGTAAGGTTGGACGTGATGATAAATTGTTTCTCTGTCCGTGGTAATATAATCTTAAGATTACTTTTGTGTTATGTAAGATAAAAAGTTTGGTGGGTTGGCCTGCAGAAAATACCTAAATCGTAATGTGGCCCATGACTGAGGAAAAGTTGCCCATGCCTGTTTGACATGATTGATCATAGTCAACTTTATTCCTTAATTGTTTGCTGCAGATTATTTGTTGGGCTGTCAGTAGTGACTAAAATTAGATACAGTTTTGGGATGCCAAAAATAAACAGTTTTTTAAAATGTGAATATTCAAAAAATTAGTGGGCGTACTGTAACTAACGTATTTTTTTTTTAATACTGGAGTAGACCTTCAGGTAATATGTTTATCTGTCATTATCATGGATATAAATATGGTGAGTGCCGCTTTTAGAGTAGGATTGGGTGTGGGCATATGAAGTACACATTAGTCTTACAACTTAGGTAATGTTGTGTTCAGTCGCAAATGTAATTCTGGTGTGATCATCCACAAGCTGTTCATTTCATGTGGGAGGAATAAAGTAGGTGTCCAAGACAGTGGACAGACAAGTGAAATAATATACAGATTCTCCCTGGGTTACGGACGAGTTCCATTCCTGGAGGCTATCCATAAGCCGGAAGTGACCCTTTCATAGGTAATCATTGAACACACATAGTACATATAATGTATATACAAATACTATACAGGTATGGCACCATATATCTGCTTGGCGCCTGGGGGTTGCTGGATTGAGGGTTTTACCGGAATTTGGAGCGTCGGGCTTAAAATGTACAAAATGTAGAGTAAACCCTCTGTAACTGCCCGTGAAGACCCCTAAAAGTAGTTTTAACTGTACACTGTAACATTAAACCTTAAAATTGTAGGCATAAAAACATTAATAACAAAAGGATATAAATAGCATTAATGAAAGCATAAAGAGAACAAAAGTGATACAAGTTAGTGTACAAACTGCATCACAGTCGCCCCTGGTGCTCACCTTAGCAACGCAGCAGCATCCCTAGCTACATTGCTCCACCATGGACCCTCTGACGTCCAAGCACAGTTTCACGGTGGAAATCTGTAGATACTTAAAGCTTTATACCTTATGATAATTATTTCTTTTATTTATCTTTGCACTTTCTGTATGTACAGTTGTGTGCATGAAACTAGGTAAAAAAAAAAATGCATTTATCTCTCCCAAGTTGTGAGTTGAAAAGTACTTTATACAGCACAGGTATACCCCGACAATCAATGATTACATATATAGGAGAAAAACCCACAAGTTTTTTTGATACAGTACCCCGGAGATCCGATGATCGGGAGAGGAGCAGCAGAGCGGTTTTGAATTTGGTGAGCGGTAGTGTGGTACAAATTCTTGCCACGAGAGGGCTCTGCGTGCTGCCTCTGCCTCATTCCCACCTCTTTGCTCTTGTTTACACTTCGTGTTTTTTCGTTATTTCTGACTTCGTATGTTATGCAGTCATGCTTAAACGCCCCAGTGATAGTTCTTCAGAGGGGGCAGCTTGATGTGATGTGATAAGGTGTAATAAGAGTGGTAATGACCGGCAAAGATTGGTAGAGACTTGAACTTGCCACCCTAGACTGTCTCTACCATCCTCAACACAGGTAAATAACAGTCTCAATTTATGCTTTACATTGCTTATTTAAGGCTTATTATGCTTACTTTATATGTCTGCTTTATTTTCTTGCTTGGCAATGTGCACGACAAAGTTATATCAAGGGCAGATGGGAGTTTTTGGAGGGTGGCCGGTCCCTAACCCCCAGAATTTGTTACTGTATATTCTTATGGGATTAATTGCTTCTATGACTGTTGATTCACGAACCAACGACTTTTCCCGGACCTTATATGCGTCGGTTATTGGGATGTGACTGTACCTTAAGATAATTACCTGGTACATTATTTCTTTTATTATTAATGTTTAACTTTTCTGTGTGTAATATTGAGTGTGATGTAACTACAAATTAACAATAAAAACTAACATACCCTGTATATCATCCTGAAATTATGAGTTAAAAAAGCCAGAACATAACCTGTTTGTGAAGTGCTCCAGATACAAGGACACACTTCTACCAGGCTGAGGTAGGAGTTATGTTAAGGTTATTTTTCAACTCATAATTTTGGATACATAAACATAACTTTCTTCGTATCTTTTTCATTCAGTTACATGCACATGCAATCCTACATGTATAATATGAAGAAAAAAAAGCTAAAAGAAATAACTATCATAAGGTCAAAAATATAAAGGGAATAAACATTTCTTTGTGTGAGAAAGAGAGGGGGAGCATTGTTATAGGCCGGTGGAGGCAGCCAGGCTGTGTTGCTATGGCAACACTTGAGGATGGCCACTCGTGAAGCAGCCAGCATCTATGCAAGTGGCTGTGTTAAACTTTGATTTTGCTTTTTCTTATAGTTTTAGTTGCATATTTTTATCTAGATTGTATTTTCTTAATGTTTTTAATATGTTAAGTAGCAAATTACAGTAGTTGAGTACTGTACTACTGTATATATCATTAGTTAGGTTTTTTTCTTGTTTATGAACTGATTTTGTGTTTTGAGGTATTTGTCTGGGGAACCAAACCATATTTTCTCATGTGTTCTGTTACTTGAGATACAAAAATGTAATTTTTTTTTAAACCTAATCCACATATATATATATATATATATTTATATATATATATATACTGTATATATATATATATATATATATATATATATATATATATATACTATATATATATATATATATATATATATATATATATATATATATATATATATATATATATATATATATATATATATATATATATATATATATATATATATATATATATATATATATATATATATATATATATATATATACCATATATATATATATATATATATATATATATATATGCAAGTAAATCACTGTAGTTGCACGTGATCCAGGTATATGCTGATAACCACAAGGAAAGAAGAAAACACGAAGTTCCCAAGCGCTTTCGTGTAATTCACATCTTCAGGGGTGAGTACAGACTGTATATATATTATTTTGTTTTTCCCCACTTTACCAAGGTTTAGTTTACAAACATCCCAATGTGATTCAATATAAGAATGGAAAATCTGAAGTATCCTGTAACAAAAATATGATCTTTTTTTTGTAATTTTCTCCAAAGTAACAATGTAATTACAGGTATGCTAAATTATTATTGTTTTTACTCCCAATATGCTTAATTAAAGTTTCCACTTTAAGTAATTAAATATATTCTAACACTCACTATGTAACTAAGTCTACATATAAGCTCTGAATGCATGATTAGCATGAGTGTTGTGTCAGCTGACCGAAGGCACAGTTCATGCTATGTAAACAAAGTGCTGTAGCTGTAACTTAAGAAGATACAATAACTCATGAGGGGCTGATCGTGGGATTTTTTATGTTGAGAACGTATGATGTCTTCAATTATAGAATGGAAATCAGAGTATTACTACAGTAATATATTTACTGTAGATTTTGGCTTAGTCTATTTTATTGTTCAATTAAGTTTTATCTCTGATAATTTTTACTTGTAAATGGAGCACAGTACAGTAGTGTTATTACTAACCTTGTTATGTGCTTAAAGACCTTAGTTTATGAAGTGCAGTAATGCATTATAACATCAACAGTTCACTTTGTTTCAAATCATCTCTGTACTGTACAGGAATAAAATTAATATTGTACTGTACAACATTTATTACACTTTTATGTTTATTATTGACTTGATATCACTGTTTACACCAAATATTGTTATTAAAACCATTTTTCTTATTTTGGGGTATTTTAAGATGTTTGGGGGAATCTATGAAAAAATGTTATCCAATTTATGAAAGCTTTTTAAGGAACAGAATCATTTCATAAATGGGGGAATGCTTGTACTGTTCCTTTATATGTAGAGGCTTCAAAACATTTTCTCTCAAAGTATTGTTACTAATCAAGAAGTCCTTTAGAGTTGTTGGGGATCTATGAGCTCTGAAATTGCATTGTAAGCAGTAATGTTGAGCTGTTTAGATGAGTAATGTTATTGGGTATTGCCTGATTTTGACTCCTGTATGTATGTCTGTATAGCCAAGAATACTCATGTACTAGGAACAAGTACTGTACCTGTACCCTCATTCGGAGACATTTAAATGAAACAAAAGAGGAAAAGCTGTCTGATAAAAATAATTAAGTATTGAACAAGGTAAATTCATAGAATGTCATCTTATAAAACTGTACCTGCCATACACATTCTTGCTTCTCATTGTGTTTACAGATATTAGGTATGAAGTGTTGTTTCCAAGGTGGAAACATTATTATTTTTGTTTTTGTATGTGAGCCAATACGTCATGTCACCAGTGTAATCATCCATAATATTTTGTAGTGGATGTTCAATGTTAATACAGTATTTCTACAGCCAGAAAGTACAGGATGTCTGTAAATCATATGATCCATTTTTAAAACTTAATAACCTCGTATTAGATAGAACACACTGTACATATGGAAGTCTTCTAAGGTACAGTACAGTATAATAAAACTGGTGTGTTTCATCTCTAATGCTTTTGAAATTATTTATGTATAATGTGAGCCAAATAATTTATGGATACCCTATATAAATAACTCATCATCTAGACAGAATTCTTTATTCAATAGAGGTAATTTTTTCATTGCAATATTGAATTACTTTCTACTTGCTGTCAACCCCATTCCCTCCAAAAGTGGGATAATACTGTACATGTGTTGTACAGTAAATGTAAGACGTGGTCACATCATTTAAGTGGGAGGGGGGAGGGGGCTTCAAAGTCAGATCTAGGCATTTCAGTAAAGGGGGTTGCAAAGAAGATGTGCACTGCACTAAAAAATACAAAATAAACCTTACTTTGTCCATTGAGCAAGTGCAACATCAATTGTATTGTTTTGTTAGATCAGCCTCTTTCAAATCTGATACAAAATGAAAACCTTGTAGACTACAGCAGTTATCATTTTTTTCTACATTTTCAAATACAGCAGTTATCATTTTTTTCTACATTTTCAAGTGTATTGCTACACCAGTACTTTGTGAGCATCTATGAAAACCATTACATTATGAAAGTTCAATGTATTTTGATAAAGACTCAAATGAGGATCTGCTGAGAAACTTCAGTACAGTACACTATAATAATTAAGGTCTTTTTACAAAAACAATTTATTTTCAGAGGCATGTATGTCATCATTGAAATAAGATTTGTATTGTGAAGAGTTGTTGTTTTTTTAACAAATATGTCAACAATGACTTGTAAATCTATTTCAGTGTCATGATGCATACAGTATGCATCAAAGCCACACCAATCACCCTTTCCCCATTCATCCTGTGTCTCAGGTATCTCTTATTGCCCCCAGGTTCAGAGGATCATTTAGCCAATATACAGTAGCTCACAGAGATTTGGAAATACTGTACATCTCTATCACATGTCTGAGGCATTCACTGAGATTTGTTGGTGGTAATTTTTTTCTTGAACTTCCGAGATTTCCGGTGTCTTAACTCATTTAAAAGGGGAGGGAGGTGAGGTAATTTGTACAAAATATCATCTTTTCACAGAATGCCAAGGTTGTGATTTGTCTTAATTAACTTCTGGATAATTTTGAAGAGGGCAGCACATGCCCTTGATTCTGCATGAAGGTGGGTTAGTTGATCAAGGACTGGAATGGCTAGATCTTAATGACAATGATCCTCTGAAGTTTCAGAAGAAGTATTTTTGCAATTTCCTTATCACCTATTTATACATACAAGGTTTAGATACCATTCCACCAACACTCTTAACAAGCTGGGAGGCTTCACTGAACCATTCATTTAAAGTAATTTTCTACATCACTTTGAATCTCCAAAAATATGTTAATGCGGCTGTTGTTTGACAATACATGACTTCCACAGATTGACAACACAATATATCATGACATTATGGTATTTGTACAAGTAATGAGGCAATGTTTGAAATTAAAGGAAGTGATTGCGAGGATGAAGGAGGAAGACACGAAACAAGGAAAGCCCGTGTCTGACGAAGACACAGGCGAATGGAGGGTTGTGAGGAGAGGAACGACGAAACTGGTGAGGAGAAAAGACACCAAGGAAATGACAACAGCTAAGTGTAAAAACTCTTTTACTCCTTTGATAGACAAATTGGACGTTAGCATAGTTAGGGACAGGTCTGACAAGGAAGGTACGAAAACCTTAATTGTTGGGGATACCCAGGTACAGCACCTGGATAGAGCTTTTTGTGCTAAAATTAAAATAGGTTGAGGGTGTGTTTGCCAAGAGCTGGGGTGGGGTATATAGTTGACAGGATGGACAATATCTTGTCTGGTAATGGGAACAAACCTATTATCTGCCTGAGTGCAGGAGACAATGATATTGGCCGGTGTAGGAGTGAGGAGTTCCTTGATAAGTTCAAGACAGCTATCGAACATATTAGGTTGAAGGGAGGGATCCCTATCATATGTCGTGTCCTGCCTAGAAGGAGAGTTGACAATGAATCGTTGTCAAGGGCAGTTGATGTCAACGGCCGTCTTGACAGATATTGCAAGTCCATATAAGTCCCATTCATTGACAACTGGGACAACTTTTATGGCAGAAGGGACCTTTATACTGAGGATGGAGTGGCAACCCTGGCTGGCTCTCTCGAGAAGGCAGTTCAAAAGATGTTGAAGTCTTTAAAATGCTGGAGGAACATGTGAACACGGGGATCGAGGAGACTGCAGTGGGAGCTGATAAACAAAATCAAAAGTTATAGAGAAATAGTGCTTGGAATGATGACAAAAATAAATTAGACCGGGAGTTATAATCTAAATGTGACAAAGACAGGACTCAGAACACTACTAACTTAAATGTCTTCTAGGCAAACCCTAGAAGTATGAGAAACAAAATGGATGAAACAGGGCATTGGTATGTACCAAAAAATCGATGTACCCTGTAATAGCAATTCACCGAAACGGATAAATTTACTCACTGAGTTACCTGCCAACAGGGCCGGATTCAGGAGTGGGCAAAGTGGGCAGCTGCCCAGGGGCCTCCACATATTACAATATTTTATTTATTTGCTTATTCATTTGGATTATTTTTATTTTCATTCTTTAAAATTCATGTTTATCTATTCCATCACGTAAAACTATGTTCAGCAAGAAGCGTGATAGAAATTAGGCTAGCTACTCCTTGAAATTCATGAATACCTGGTTTTCCTATGAACTGTATATTTTTAATGAATGCTATTGTTTGTGTTGCTAATAATATATTTAGAATTCCTCAAACATATATTGATTAAAAATGAACTACATGGAATAACGAAATTGAGATTAAATAAAACAAATAAAATATTTTTTTCATTATCACTTCCATTACGAAAGCCATCAGGGCGCTGTGTTCTAATTTCCTCAATATAACTGCATATGGGTTCAAAATTCTCCAAAGAAGTGTTCAAATTTCAAAATTTTCCCGGGGGGCGCTATAAGCCCCCCGGAACTCCCAGATGCTTAGGCTCACTTCACTCGCTACCCCACCCTCTTGGGTAGTTATAATGAGGGGGGCCTCCACAAAGAGGCTGCCCATGGGCCTCCACAGGTCTAAATCCGGCACTGCCTGCCAAATACAAAATTACAGGTTACAAGTTATTCCATACCAATAGGCGTACAGTGACCCCTCGGTTAACGAGCGCCTCAGTTAACGAGATTTCGGTTAACGAGTTACCTCCCATAAGATTCTTAACTTCGGTTAACGAGCAATCCCTCGTTAACGAGTTTCTTACGAGCCGACCAACAAGTTTTTGCTTGCACTTGGCGGTCCACCAGCTGTAGTATTAGTCCGCCAATACAGTAATCGGTTCTAGGGCTTAAATTCCTTACCATTTTAGCAAATATCAAGAAGTTTATACTATTCAATAATTTTAAAAGTTTAATACTGTATTAAATTTTTTAGTCATTTTAACAATTATTGAACATAACTGAAGGTAAGGAAACTAGTTTTATGCGCGCCATCCAGCCTCTCAACACACCATACAGGCGTCAGTCTTTGTGTCTTTTCAACTAAACGCGTTTTTTCTCTGTTTGCAAGCCAATTATTGGTCATTTCGAAATATATTTTACATATTGACAATATATAATGCAGTGCAGTGTTGATATAAAGAAAATAATCTTGAATTACACCAAGAGAACTAAAATTTTATGGGTGAAATGGCACCATGGGGTGACTTCTCTTCCACCCCAATGCCTTCTCTTCTCCCTTCTCCTCCACCCCCATTCTAATTCCCATCATCATCATCATCTTCCAGGAGCCTTCTACATACACACCTCAAATTAAGTGTACTTTTCTACATTTTTTTTTAATATAGGCAATTTTCGGTGAGCTGGAACCAATTGCCCAAAAACCCATTGAAACAATGGTTTCGGTTAACGAGCAACCTTGTAGAACGGATTGTGCTCGTTAACCGAGGGACCACTGTATTAGGAAAGGAGGCGGAGCAGCAGTCTATGTCAGGGATAATCTGAAGTGTGAAATAAATAAGGAAATAAAAACAACTGAATTCAGAAACAATTTGGCAGAATTAACTGATGGTAGAGAAAAATTAATCGCAGGGGTAATATATAGACCTCCTAATCTTGATAGAGTTAATGAACTTTAACTTTAGCCAAATAGATTGAACCGACCTTATGGAAAACTGAAAATGAGAGGATTTACTTGTGTCAAACAGAGAAAACCTCTTTGGTAATGTCGAGGTAGGGAACGAACTAGCAAACAGGAATCATAAAGAAGTGAGATTCAAAGTTGAACTTAATGTCAGTCGCAAGGAAAATTCCATTAAAGTCCCAGATTTCCTAAGGGCAAACTTTGATAGTTTGAAAAGGCTGCTCAGGGAAGGGGTATCACGTTTGGGGGTGAATTGCATGACCTCACACAGTGTACCGACAAAGGGCGACCTCACTTTACATGGTTACCTGACAACGGTAACCTCACAAAATATGACGTTTGAGGATGACCTGATCTCGAGATCTGAGGTTGCCGAGTTCCACAACAATTTAAATAATGAGTTACTTAATGCACAAAGGCAGAACATACCATACAGAAAACTCTGATCAGACAACAATGACCCTAAATGGATAAATAATTATTTAAAGAATATTATTGGACAAAGGAAAGCTATAGGTAGAAGAATAAATCGCGGTGAAGTTTACCTCCGAGATTATTATAAGGTATTGGCCAGTAGAGTTAAAACCGAGATAAGAAAAGCAAAGAGGAATAATGAACTGATGGTAGCAAGGGAGGCAAAGTCAAACCCCAAGGGATTCTTTCAGATGTATCAAACTAAAACACGAGATAAGATTGGACCAATACAGACAGATACCGGCAAGCTAACTGATAACGACAGAGAAATGAGCAATAATCTGAACAAATATTTTTCAATAGTTTTCACCACCAAAAATTTAAACATGATTCAGCGAGATAATAGTGACAAATAACGATGTTAGTGAGCGAATAGAGCATAATAGGTCACCAGGTCCCAATGAGAAATTAAAGGAATGTAAGGAAGAACTTGGTATGCCCTTAGTAAAGTTGTTTAACATCATTAAAAATGGGTGTAGTACCAGGATCCTTGAGGATAGCGAATGTGATACCGATTTTCACGAAGGGAGATAGATCACTATCCTCTGACTACTGTCCAATCAGTTTAACATCAATTTTAGGCAAATTGCTGGAAGCAATAATTTCAAACTCTATTCATAATCACCTGGAGAAGCAAAAGTTGATCAATGATTCCCAACATGGCTTCACAAGTGGGTGTTCATGTCTGACAAATCTTTCAACATTCTTCTCAGCTGTTTTCGAATCTGTGGACTTCAGTAAAACCTTCGATAGAGTCCCGAAGACTAATACATAAAGTGGAGGTTCATGGAATTGGAAGAGAGATTCTAAAATGGATTAGGGCGTAGTTACAGGACAGGAAACAGCGAGGGAGCATTAACGGCACTAAATCCAGTTGGGGTAACGTCACTAGTGGAGTACCCCAAGGCTCAGTACTTGGACCATTACTATTTATTATACTGTATACATAAATGACAGATATGGGCATAGACAGCAACATAAGTAAATTTGCTGATGACACTAAAATAGGGCGTGTAATTAAATTTACCGTAACCCAGCACTGAATTTAGTTAGCAGCCTTTCAGCAGCTGCTGAAAGGCTTTATACAGCAATGACTGATGTATGGGTCAGAGGCATAGACAGTTTGACACTCTCAGCAGACACCAGAAAGAGGTTGGAGGCCTTTGAATTGTGGTGTTAATGGCAAATGCTACACCGAATAAGCTACACTAACAGGGAAAACAAATGAACCAAAACTTCAAGAGAAATACTTGAAATGTAAAGAAAAAAAAGAAGAGATACTTTGGTCATATAATTTGGAATGAGGGGATAATAACAGAAATATTAATAGGCAAAGTTGAGGATAGGAGAACCAGGGGAAGGCAGAGACTGAGCTGAGATGGATAAATAAAATAAAAAACTGGGTCTAGAGAGAGATACAAAACCTTTAAAGATTGGTAAAACAGCCTGAGAGTGTTTAGAGTGGAGGACTGTGGTCGACAATCCTCAGTTATGAGGACGGTATTCTAATTGATTGATTGAATGTGGTTATACTATTTAATTTCCACAAAACAATTACCTTTTTTTTATCTGTTGGAAAATGATGAAATTTCAGATGGTTGAAGTTCCTCTTGTCTTTCCTACGCATTGCACAGTCATGGGTGCTTGTCATGGGAACTATTTTTACACATTTCATCAGGTTGAACATGCCGCAGACTTCTTCTTAAATGTAAACAAACAGCCGACACACGGCAAAAGACTCGGCTACATACCAGTCAGAAAATCTAAAGTTTTGAAGGGTGTTTTCAAGGCAGCACTTCCAATTACAGTAAGTCCTTGCTTAACGTCTTGGTTCCGTTCCTGAAAACCGTGACGTTAACGCAAACAACGTTAATGGAATCAATTTTCCGCATAAGAAATAGATAAAATGCTGGAATTACGTTCCTCAGCCTCCCTTTGCCCCATAAAATTCAATGGAATTTTTATAGAAAATAGTATATATTATACGTACATCCAAAGAGATACATAAACTAAATAATTTTGTATTGTACTCACTGATGGGCTGTTTAAAACTTCCATTTTTGTAGCCAGGCTAATGGTCTTACGTTGCTTCTCTACAACACTAGCATCACTAGCACTTGATGGGTGCTTGGAAGCCATTTCGAATGGTTACATTACAGTATTTAGAGGAAAAACACTTAAACTCACGAACGCTGTGGAAGCCTAGCAAAGACTGGGGACACTTGGGGATGCTGTTACTCTCCGTGATGACATTATACCGTATCGGCGGGACGTTGTCCGAATTATGGGTATCTAAAGAGTAGCGACGTTATAATAAAACAACGTTGTCGGGGGCAACGTTAAATGAGGATTTACTGTATCTGGAAATCTAATAAGAACGCTTGGGTGACATTGGCCCTTTTTGAAGACTGGTACCTTAATCATTTTATGCCTGAAGTATTTCAAAATCAATACCTTTTAAAATTCTACTGGTTCTTGACAATGCACCTGACCATCCAGAATTTTTGTATGATGTTCATCCAAACATTAAAGTTATTTACCAACCACCAAACACAACATCTGTTTTATAACCGATGGAACAGGGAATTATTGTTTCATTTAAAGCATATTACCCGAGAATAACATTTGCTCAAGCTATCAGGGCAACAGAACAAAAGGAGGATAGGACTTTAAAGGAATTTTTGAAGTCATACAACATTTCTGACGCTGTGAAAAACATTATCAGATTCATGGGCTAAGGTAAAACAAACCCACATGAATAGTATTTGGAAAAAACTCTGCCCACAGTTTATCCACGATTTCAGGGGCTTTGAAGATGGTGTTGGGGAAGTGACACAGGCAGTGGTAAACCTTGTAAACCAACTTGATATTCATGAGGATGATATCACAGAGTTGCTTGAATCTCATGCTGAAGAATTAAGCAATGAGGACCTGATTAAACTGGAGAAGCAAATTTTGTCAGAGGATGTAGAGGAAGCTGGAACTCCAAAACCAAATGGATTCATTATAAAAGACATGGCAGAAAGTTTCAGGCTTATTGAAGGATTGTTTAAATTTGAACAGCAAGATTCACCAAGGTTCATAGAGGTATTACTGAATGTCTACTATGCTACAAAGATATTTATGAAGAAAGAAGAAAGTTTCAGTTCAACCATCCCTTGAAAAGTTTTATAAGAAAGTCGAAAGGCAGCCAAAACCAGTCCCATCAACCTCTGCAGCATCTACAGAACCAGTCCCATCAACCTCTGCAGCATCTACAGAACCAGTCCCATCAACCTCTGCAGCATCTACAGAACCAGTCCCATCAACCTCTGCAGCATCTACAGAACCAGTCCCATCAACTTCTGTAGCATCCATAGAACCAGTCCCATCAACGTCTGCAGCACCTACAGAACCAGTCCCATCAACCTCTGCAGCATCTACAGAACAAGTTCCATCAACCTCTGCAGCATCTACAGAACCATTCCCATCAACCTCTGCAGAATCTACAGAACCACTCCCGTCAACCTCTGCAGCATCTACAGAACCAGTCCCACCAAACTCTACAGTAACTACAGGACCAGTCCCATCAACTTAAACATCTACAGAACCACTCCCATCAACCTCTGCAGCATCTACAGAACCAGTCCCATCAACCTCTGCAGCATCTACAGAACCAGTCCCATCAACTTCTGTAGCATCCATAGAACCAGTCCCATCAACGTCTGCAGCACCTACAGAACCACTCCCATCAACCTCTGCAGCATCTACAGAACCAGTTCCATCAACCTCGGCAGCATATACAGAACCAGTTCCATCAACCTCTGCAACATCTACATAACCAATCCCATCAACCTCTGCAGCATCTACAGTACCAGTCCCATCAACCTTTGCAGCATCTACAGAACAAGTCCCATCAACCTCTGCAGCATCTACAGAACCAGTCCCATCAACCTCTGCAGCATCTACAGAAAAAGTCCAACCAACCTCTGCAGCATCCAGAGAACCAGTCCCATCAACTTTTGCAGCATCTACAAAACTAGTCCCATCAACCTCTGCAGGATCTACAGAACCAGTCCCATCAACCTCTGCAGCAAATACAGAACCAGTCCCATCAGCCTCTGGAGCAACTACAGAACCATTACCATCAACCTCTGCAGCATCTACAGAACCAGTCCCATTAACCTCTGCAGCATCTACAAAACCAGTCCCATCAACCTCTGCAGCATCTACAGGACCAGTCCCATCAACCTCTGCCGCATCTACAGAACCAGTCCCATCCCCTCAGCATGTACTGAACCAGTCCCATCAACCTATAGCATCCATAGAACCAGTCCCATCAACGTCTGCAGCACCTACAGAACCAGTCCCATCAATCTCTGCAGCATCTACACAACAAGTTCCATCAACCTCTCTAGCATCTACAGAACCATTCCCGTCAACCTGTGCAGAATCTACAGAACCAGTCCCATTAACCTCTGCAGCATCTACAGAACCAGTTCCATCAACCTCTGCAGCATCTACAGAACCAGTTCCATCAACCTCTGCATCATCTACAGAACCACTCCCATCAACCTTTGCAGCATCTACAGAACCAGTCCCGTCAACCTCAACAGCATTTACAGAACCACTCCCATCAACATCTGCAGCATCTACAGAACCAGTCCTATCAACCTCTACAGCATTGTCGCGATCCCACTACCCTTTATACTTGGGGAGTAACCACCCCAGTTATTAATAAATAAAGGAAACAAATAGGGAACACGGCAATAATTATCCTCACCAAAACCTACTCAACTAAATGTACTTGGAAAAAGTAAGAACAGTTGAAATAAGTGAATCACAAAGGGAAGATAATTAATTAATCAAGTTCTAAAGGAGTAATGACTAGCAAAACATGAATTTAAGGGAATAAGTAAGTGTATAATAAAATAAGAGTGATGCGGAAGGGCGAAAAATATTAACATTACTATATTACACAAGACATACGAAATATATATATACAACTAATCACTACAAAATGATTATCCCTACCAAACAGGAGATACCTACCACCAGGATCCCTTCCTAGGCCTAACTAAACGTGTCACTAATACCTGATACCCTAGGGCATTGCAGAAGACTGGATAAAGCACTAGACAAGGGTCAAGGCTAGAGAACGAATGGACACGTCTAACCTATGCCGGTTTTTCGCTACTGGGGAAGCGTGGGCACGCTGAGCAGCGCGTCTCATATCACGTGATCTAGAACATTTGCTAGATATTTTATATAATTAATTAATATTACTCTTGAGTTGACTTAACAGAGTAAGACAATGATGCATATAAATTACATACATAAATATACAATTAACCTAAGTAACTAAGAACAATAATAATATAATAAGTACAATTAACAATTTATTAATAGCTTGTATGAAATGTAGGCGTGAACATATGCCTCACGCTATGCGAGTTCCCGAGCGCTCAGGCACGTGACAAGCATCTACAGAACAAGTCCCATCAACCTCTGCAGCATCTATAGAACCAGTCCCATCAACCTCTGCAGCATCTACAGAACCATTCCCATCAACCTCTGCAGCATCTACAGAGCAGCTCCCATCAACTCCAGAAAGAGTTAATTCTACCACACCAGATTCTCCAGAACCAATCCTGTAACATCTACACCATCATCACCATCTTCAGTTTCATCCCAAGAAAGCCTCTGTCACTCCTACAAATGCCTATCTCTACATGCAAGCTTGTCCCAGGTTTCAATGTAAGTGTTAAACTTTAATTTTAATTACTTTACTGAATTTTGTCATTCATTTTCTTTTTTTCTCTTAAATTAAGTGATTCGAGATGTATAATAGGACTTGGGTTGTGAAATAGTGCACATAGGGTATATGTTCCGACTTACGTACATTTCCGACTCAAGAACGTCCTCAGAAATGAAACCCGTTAAGAACTCCAGGACCCCCTGTATAACATTAATTATCATACAATTTTAACATGTGCTTCGAATGGTTGCACACAAAAATATGGCTTATTTGAGAGATAAAACACTAAACAGCTCAATACGTCTAACATGGTATGCAGTATACTGTCATATCCTTGGTTACTTAAATTACTTTACTTAATTTCTAATCCTTACTTAATATATGATTGCTGCCACCAGACCTCAAAACTAAAATCTGGTTCCTTTTTCCCATGGTAGTGAGTAAAGAAGTCTAGCATTGTGAATTCTTCCTCGACACTATCTACATACAGAATTAAGACTGGTATACAGTAATTCATACAATTGACATAGTGTATACAAATATTCCTTTTGAAGCATTTACCATTCTCTGTGATTTGACATTCTTGATCAGCTTATAAATTTTTTATCTGGCATATTGACAATCACAACAATCATTTGGTGGTGGTGGTAATAACATGTTTTCAATATCATTAATTCTAAGTATTTTTTCTACCAATATTGTACAAAAAGCTTTTAATATACTGTATTGGTTGAACTTCAAACAATAAATTTAATAAATCTTGAGTTTAACATAAATGTAGAGTTAATGTAAATATGAATAATATTATTCAGTTGTACGAGGGCAACTTTGTTTGGGAATTGCCACTTCAATTTTATTTCTAAAACCTTCTTGGTTGTATTTCTCTTATTCTCAGCTTTACTTAGTAATATTCTATTCTGTGGAAAAAACCTGGGAGAACCACATTCTTCTCTATTCTTACACACTCGTATAATTATTATACGTACTTACATTTAAATGCTGCCACCACCCAGGCTTTCTTTACCATATAACTTCTACAATGAACAAGTGGTAGCGTGGTAGACAGGAAAGGTTAGGCACCTGAGTATTAAATATTTTCAGGGATGCCAATTGTTAGAAGGAATGAGTGGTGATAAACATTCTACTGAATCAACGTTTATTAAAATAAAATCTGGATACCGTGACACTTTGAACCTTCACTCAACAATAAAACTCAGATTCAATTACTGATTATGTTACTGGAACACTTAGACAAAACAAAATGACCAATAGGTCATACTTTATAGGTAGAAAACTAGATCTTCAATTATCAGTATACGCTATTCAATACTTATACAGAGTGATGTTATTACATTACTTGTAGCATTATGCTATTACTGGATCAACATGGAAATGTATACCAGCACATACCAACTGTGAATACAGCTGGTCTACTCACATACCTGTACATTACGCACAGATTGGGCTGATAATGTATTGTACATACTAGTGAAGGCCTTTAAAGCCTCCAATATACTGTAGCACCATTCAGTTCTTGTGTACTGTCCTTAATAATGGCAATGAAGCATTCATTCCTCTTGTTCATCTGCTTCCTTATCCTCCCCCTGTGACTGGATGTTGATGTTGATGTTGTTGGTGGCACGGGTGATCCTGATGTTGGATCAGTTGATTCATGTCCTGCTGGGAGACGCGGCATAATTGGTGGTGATGTCTGCCTTCTCCCTTGCAGACGAACTCTTATCTCCACAACTCATGTTTCTGCATCAATTTTGGCACGCAGATCGACCTGGCTTGTTTATATATATCTTGGAAAAGTCAACCCTCTCGAGTTGCAGCGTTCGGGCTACTGTACTAAATAGTAACCCGATGTTCGGGATTGATATTAGAGTTTGACGAATCCATTTGACGGGTTACCAAACAGTAACCCGACATCGATTGTTTTCGGGCTTGCTGCTTTTTAAAAAAATGGCAGAAAGTGGTCACTAAGGCCAGCAGGAATGTCCCTTACCTGATTGATTTTGTCTTTACTATTACATATTACATCTAGTGTGGTGGCTGAGGACTTTGAATTGCTTAATACCGTGACTTGTTTTGATGTGGTCTGGTAACTGGCTCCAAATCTATTATAGCAGTAAAGAGGAAAGTGTTTTTCTCTTGACAGCAGACACCAGGTACCATAAAATTATGTTCACTCAACTCTAGTGTCCTGCAAGTTCATATCCCTACTATCTGCAAAGTTTGTTGTTAAATACTCTGGGCACAGTCCATTGATAATCCTGTAAGCATGATTCAGCCTCAGTTGCTTCATTCTATATGCCACACTTAACATGTTCAGTAATTGAAGAACTTCGTGACTATCATGATCTCTTGCATTCATGTCAAGAATGAACCTCACCGCCTTGTTGTGAACAATTTGTAGCTTAGATTTATTTTTAGCTTCTGTGTTAAGGCAGAGTATCATAACGAGCAGGAATTGCTGAAGTGACATTGTACGAATGCCAAACAAAGGGCCTCTGGCAGTGGCGGACTGGGTCAAAAATTTCTACCGTGAAAACTTGTAAGGGCCCACTCAAAAGTTTCAGGTCGCATTCAGGCATTAGTGCGGACCTAGTAATGTCACATTCGGTACCATTAGGGAGGATTGAGTTAATGTCTCATAAACCCCATATCTCTTTTTTCTTTTTTCCGTTATTTCCAAAGTGATGGACCATCACTTTGGAACCCACCTGGAAATTTCCCGGTATCCCAGTGGGCCAGTCATACTGGCCCTCACGGGCATCAGGTGAGAAGCATTTAGTGTTTCTACAGAGCAATTTTATTTTGGCAATACTTTTTCCAACTATGTTATCTCGATTAATTCATCGGACAAACAAGAGTCAAGAGTTTGTCCAAGGTATTTCACTGAGATTACAGTTTAGATGGTTCATTAACCCTTTTGAGTATTATTTTTTATCCAAATAATATTGCTTTAGACTTAACAAGATGTAGGGATAATTGCTGTCTATGAGCCACTGTTTGTATATACTGTAATAACTTTTTAGCTACTATATCATTTGAATCTTTACTTGACACTGAAAGACCACTGTTATTGGCATAGAGCAAAAGTTAATTACTGTAGTTATTTAAAGCCTTTATATAGCAAAGTAATCCACAAACTGACGATCATTGAAAACAAGATAAATACACTATACAATAACATAACATTAAAAAAACTCGCCCTGTGAGTAAGGTTTTAGCCCACGATGAATGTTACATTACGTGTGTTCTAAGAGCCATGGTACAGTGCTTGGGAGATGCCTGTTGATCACCCCTGCTGTAAGGCTTTGGGTTATAGCTGAGATGGAACATTTAGATTCATTCCCACATGGAAATTAGTTGGATTTTTCATGAATGGGTTTTAAAGAATATAGTTTGGGATTTTATGTTAACTGTACTAAGTCAATGATTTATGTTCAAGAGTGATGTAAAGACTAAAGAGCCATATGTTTGATCTGTACAGTATGCATTTGTTCTCTTTATTAATATGATAATTAGGAGTTTTCTGAAAGTAAGTGAATGAACAATTATTTTCAATGTTTTATTTTATTTAGTGTTTTAATACCTCTGATAAATAAATGAATAAATAATGAATGATTATGACAAAACACACACAGTTAAGACAAATTATAAACAGAAGATAAATGGATAATAAAGGTTTCTCGGTATTGTTTTTGTTCAGTACAGATGATTATCTCTACTGTACACTATAGTAAACTCAAAGATAAGTTTCTTCATAACCTTTCGCTGTGTACATACAGGTGTCGTGTCATATCTTTTGTGTCATAATTAGTTTGTACTGGTGTCATGTCATATCTTTTGTGTCATAATTAGTTTGTACTGGTGTTATGTCATATCTTTTGTGTCATAATTAGTTTGTACTGGTGTCGTCATATCTTTTGTGTCATAATTAGTTTGTACTGGTGTTATGTCATATCTTTTGTGTCATAATTAGTTTGTACTGGTGTTGTCATATCTTTTGTGTCATAATTAGTTTGTACTGGTGTCATGTCACATCTTTTGTGTCATAATTAGTTTGTACTGGTGTCATGTCATATCTTTTGTGTCATAATTACTTTGTATTGGTGTCACGTTCCATTATCTTCTTCTTGTCACGTTGTTAGTTCACCTAGCTACACTGTGTAGTCTTGGCCGCTAGTCAGTCCATCTCTGGCCAGGCGAGATAAGCATCAATCTCATAACCAAAGAGATCAAAATCGAGCTTATACCGCTGGTGGAGCTCTGTCATCTGGTGGCGGGTCAGCTGGCTGTAGTACCTCGTAACTTCCTCCCACGGTGACTCCTTCCTCTTGACTGCTGCTGCTGCTGCTGATGACTCCTTCTGTTGCTGTCCCTCGACCACCTCCTGTTGCTGCCCCTTGACCACCTCCTGTTGCTGCCCCTCGACCACCTCCTGTTGCTGCCCCTCGACCACCTCCTGTTGCTGCCCCTCGACCACCTCCTGTTGCTGCCCCTCGACCTCCTGTTGCTGCCCCTCGACCACCTCCTGTTGCTGCCCTGACCACCTCCTGTTGCTGCCCCTCGACCACCTCCTGTTCCTGCCCCTCGACCACCTCCTGTTGCTGCCCCTCGACACCTCCTGTTGCCCCTCGACCACCTCCTGTTGCTGCACCTTGACCTCTTCTTGTTGCTTGACCACCTCCTATCAGTAAGCAAAATACAATACAGTGTCATTTAATTTCTCATATTTTATATAATCTTAAATGATTATGTCTCAATCAACATTTACCACCTAAATATTAACATTTTTGGGAATATTCTGTACAGGTATATTTTAAGCTTGTAAGGATATATATTAAGCTTTTAGTGACAGATTAAGCTGGGTGTTGTGTTGAGGCACTGTGAGCTGGTTGTGGTGCTAGGTCAGTGTAGGGCAGTATGCTAGGTGTGGTGTTGGGACAATGTTGACCTAGGCGCGACACTTCGGTGAATAGTTTAGACAATAACACCAGTATGGTCGCTACTTGGCTTTAATTTATTAAAACAAAATGTATGGGTTTCCTCTCAACTGTACATTGCTGTTCAAAATATGGTGACTGTCCAGCAATAAACAAGACAGAAACTTAATCAACTGAAATAATGACCATATTGGAATGTCCGAGGTCAGCTACAGTCAGGAAGAATTGCTCATCCTCCGTCATCGTCTCTGCTTTGATAATGATGTTGAAGTCGTTGGCACACACTCCACACTCAGCCCAGTATGGCATCAAACACTTCACCTGGGGGAAGAGAGTTATTTGGGCACCGAACACCTGTGAGATGAAAAATTAAATTGAGGGGCTAGGATGACACTACAGTAATTACTTAACATGAGAGCTAGTGAAGTCAGGATGACAACCAAACTAAAAGGTCCTCTACAGTACTGTATTTATCTAATCAACTTTAAGAAAGATTTTGATCAGGTACACCACACTGTTGCCATCTGGAAAGTGTACAAGCTGGAGTGGACACAGCAGGGAACATAGCAGACAGACACAGCAGACACACAGCAGACAGACACACAGCAGACAGACATGGCAGGCAGACAGCAGGCATACACAGCAGATAATGGACAAAAAACTAACACTCTGTCTCCATTCCTTGACGGAGGTGACGTTGTTGATGGAGTCGATGACGTACTGCACGAACTCTGGGAAGGTAGGGAAGGAGGAGAGGGAGGAGGGTGACGACCAGGAAGAAGAGGAGGACTGATACACTGAAGACATGATTCTTTCCCTTAGGTTTCGGTATTTGGGTTCGACTGGTTCCTCCGTACCGATCTTATCCCGGTATAGTGACAAGAGCCTGTGGTAGAGTAAACAAAACAATTATATTCACTTAATAAATCCATATTTGATGGTATTTTTTTTTAATTCTTTCCCATTCTTTTTTCTTTAATTCCTTATTTTTTTCCTACGTTGGTTTTGTTTGTTCTTTTTTTTATTTTCTGTAATCCTTCTTTCATTTACTTTATTTCCTCTCTCATTCCTTCTTCCCCCTCCTCCTCCCCTCCACTCCCCTTCCCTCTTCCCCTTCTCCTCTCCCCTCCCCTCTCTCCTGCCTCTTCCCTCATCCCCCTCCCCTTCCCTCTCCCATCCTCCCCTCCCTTCCTTCCCCTTCCCTCTCCCACCTCCCTCCTTCCCTCTCAACCCTCCCTTCCCTCTCCAACCTCCCTTCCCTCCAACCCCCCACTCCCTTCCCTCTCCCCACCTCCCCTCCTTCAACCCTCCCCACTCCCCTTCAACCCTCCTCCCTTCCAACCTCCCCTCCTTCAACCTCCCACTCCTTCCTCTCCCCACCTCCACTCCTTCAACCCTCCACTCCTTCCTTCCTCCTCCCTTCAACCTCCACTCCCTTCTCTCCTCCCTCCCATTCCCTACAAGACTGAATGTCTTTTATGTTACGAAATTGTCTTAATATTTGTGATTTGAAATATAACTTATGTTAATATTACTCTATATTAGTATTACCGGAATTACACAAAAGAAATATTACACACTGGAACAATTACACACTGGAACTTTTACACACTGGAACAATTACACACTGGAACAATACAGTCTGGAACAATTACACACTGGGACAATTACACTGGAACAATACACTGGAACAATTACACACTGGAACAATTACAGTCTGGAACAATTACACACTGGAACAATTACAGTCTGGAACAATTACACTGGGACAATTACACTGAACTATTACACACTGGAACAATTACACACTGGAACAATTACAGTCTGGAACAATTACAGTCTGGAACAATACACACTGGAACAATACACACTGGAACAATTACACACTGGAACAATTACACACTGGAACTTTTACACACTGGAACAATTACACTGGAACAATTACAGTCTGGAACAATTACACACTGAACTATTACACACTGGAACAATTACACACTGGGACAATTACACACTGGAACAATTACACACTGGAACTTTTACACACTGGAACAATTACACACTGGAACAATTACAGTCTGGAACAATTACACACTGGGACAATTACACACTGAACTATTACACACTGGAACAATTACACACTGGAACAATTACACACTGGAACAATTACAGTCTGGAACAATTACAGTCTGGAACAATTACACACTGAACTATTACACACTGGAACTATTACACACTGGAACAATTACACACTGGAACAATTACAGTCTGGAACAATTACAGTCTGGAACAATTACAGTCTTGAACAATTACACACTGGGACAATTACAGTCTGGAACTATTACACACTGGAACAATTACACACTGGGACAATTACACACTGGAACAATTACACACTGGAACAATTACACACTGGAACAATTACAGTCTGGAACAATTACACACTGGGACAATTACAGTCTGGAACTATTACACACTGGAACAATTACACACTGGGACAATTACACACTGGGACAATTACAGTCTGGAACAATTACACACTGGGACAGTTACAGTCTGGAACTATTACACACTGGAATAATTACACACTGGAACAATTACAGTCTGGAACAATTACACACTGGGACAATTACAGTCTGGAACAATTACACACTGGGACAGTTACAGTCTGGAACTATTACACACTGGAATAATTACACACTGGAATAATTAGAGTCTGGAACAATCACACACACCGGAATAGGATAAAGGGAGGGGTTATGTGCACGGTGGGGTCTGGTGGTCATTGGTGACAGACAGACAGAAACAGAGAGGGAGTAAGAGACAGACATATAAAGAGTGAGAGAGAGAGAAACAGACAGATAGAAACAGACAGACAGACAAAGAGAGAGATAGTAGCCGACGAGGATGATGATCTCTAGAGCACTCACTTGACGAATGGATGGTTGACAACGATGACTCTGAGGCTGTGCTGGAACACGTCAGCCTTCTCCGGGGCAGAAGAAGGGGCTCTGTGGTGTTTCTTCCCTGAGGGCGTGTGAAGGGGAGCTACTTCTTCAGGCTGTGATATAGACGGTATAACAGCTTTAGTCCATACAGTAAGTAGTGTGTGTGTGTGTGTGCTTCACTTATACACAATTACAGGCTCTCAATTGTTTCTTTTTGACAACACAACATAGATATATCGTTTCTCACTCGAGATATATATATATATATATATATATATATATATATATATATATATATATATATATATATATATATATATATATATATATATATATATATTATTATTATTATTAGTATTATTATTATTATTATTATGTTGTTGTTTTATGTTGTGTTGCTGTTGCTGTTGCGTTGTTATTGTGTTATTGTTCAAAGTCCCAGTGTGGGTCGTGACCAATGCTCAGTCAGCTAATCCCGAAAAAGCGAAAAAGTTACACACTCAGTTTACCTTTACACACACCACCACCACCACTCACACAGAACCACTCACACCACCACCCACACACCACCACCACCCACCCACCACACCACACCCACACCACTCACACCACCACACCACACCACTCCACTCACACCATCACACCACTCACACGACTTGACACCACCCACACCACTACCCACACCATCACCACACCACACCACACACTCACCACGACACCACTCACACCATCACACCATCACACCCACGCCACCCACACCACCACACCACTCACACACCACCCACCCACTCACACACACCCATCACCCCACCACACCACTCACACAACTCCACCACCATCTCACCACACCACCACACCATCACACCACACCACTCACACCATCACACCATCACCCACCCTCACACCATCACACCACTCACACACTCACACCTCACACCACCGCCCACCCGCACACCACCACACCACTCACACCACACCACACCCACCACATCACACACCCACACCACACACATCCACCCTCCCTCACCACACACCCCACACCACCACACCACCGCACATCACACCACCACCATCCACACCTCCACCATCTCCACACCACTCACACCATCACACCACACCACTCACCATCACCACACCACTCACACCATCACACCACCACACCCTCCTCACACCATCACACACCACTCACACCATCACACCACTCACACCATCACACCCTCACGCTCACACCCATCACACCCACCATCACACCATCACACCACTCACACACCATCACACACCATCACACCTCACCATCCCCACTCCACACCATCCACCACTCCTGTCACACCACCACACCACCACACCATCACACCACACCACCACACCATCACACCACCACCCCTCCACCACCACCATCACACCCATCACACCATCACACCACCACACCCTCCCACACCCTCCACACCACTCACACCACACCACTCACACCATCACCCTCACCCATCACACCATCACCATCCACCATCACACCATCACACCCACCACACACCACCACACCACCACTCCACCCTCCTCCACACCACTCCACACACCCCACACACCACACACCACCACCCTCACACCACACACCACCACCACACCACCACCCACACACCATCCACCACACACCATCACCACCACACCCCACATCACACCACCCACCACCACACTCCACACCACCATCACACCACCACACCTCGTGCACCACACCACTCACACCACACCACTCACACCACCACACCACCACACCACTCGTACCACCACACCATCACACCACTCACACCATCACACCACTCGTACCACCACACCACTCACACCATCACACCACTCATCACCACCACACCACTCATACCACCACACCACTCACACCATCACACCACTCGTACCACCACACCACTAACACTATCACACCACTCAAACCATAACACCACTTACATCACACCACACCACTCAAACCATAACACCACTCACATCATCACACCACTCAAACCATCTTACCCACTACTACTTTGCTGTCACTCGGAATCGAGTATGACGATCATCCAGCTCTGATACAATGATATGAGTTAAGGATGTCACCTTCGTTGGTGAGCTCTGAGGTGACTCGAGAGGCCGATACGGGGCCGGTAGGGTTATCCACGGAAATTGCACTAGTGGAGGGCTACATCTAGTGCGGGAGGGGTGGCAGCAGTATCTTTCCGGCGTTGGCGCTTGTCTGCCTCGGTATGCAGTCGGGCTAACTTTAAATTATTGACACCTTCTCGTGTGGTGCTCCTCCAAGCATTACGGTGTGGAGTGATCGTCTCCCAGGTGAGGAGGTCAATTTGGCACTTTTTCAGGTTTGTCTTAAGACTATCCTTATACCTTTTCAGTTGCCCGCCAGCGTTACATTTACTATTCGTTAAGTGAGTGTAAAGTAGCTGCTTTGGCTGTCTACCGTCGTCTATGCGGGTAACATGGCCACCAGTCAGGCCAGTCCAGCATAGCTGTACATGGATAATAATAGCCTCGATGCTCCTACACACACACACACACACACACACACTCACATCAATCACACCACACACACTATCACATCACTCACATCAATCACACCACTCACACTATCACATCACTCACACCATCACACCACTCGCACCATCACACCACTCACACCATCACACAACTCACACTATCACACCATCACACCACTCACACCATCACCATCACACCACTCACACCATCACCATCACACCACTCACACCACTCACACCACTCACACCACTCACACCATCACCATCACACCACTCACACCATCACAACAAACGCGTCAAATTAAGTTGATTTCCGATAGACGTCAGACAAGCATAATCCTCAGTGATGTGATACAAGGAACGTCACGTGAGAGTTTGACGGTAGGACAACCAAACTTGTAACTAAGGACATGTTAAGGATGCAAGGACCGTTGGGGTATTGTCGAGAGAGGTGGGGAGTGATATGAGAAGGAGGAGAGATGAGGTGATGAGGGAGGTGGAAAGGAAGGAAAAATAAGAGGATGAAGGATGTACAAGAGTAGAAAGGGGGAGAGACATAAATACAAGGAGAAAAAGATGAAGAAGGCAGATTAGCAGGAGGGAGGAAAGGTTAATGGGTGACATGGGGAGGAAAAAAAAAAGAGGGGGAGGGAAGGAGGAGGTTAACGGCACCACCGCACCGAGCTTCGCAACAAGCACTGGGGAGTTTGGCCCATTGCCAGGCCCGCCACCACACGATAACCAAAGCACGAGCGACTCAACATAATACCCCAGTAACTAGTAATCAGGCAATACCATTCGAATTATTCTTCGGAACTCAATGAAAAAATAATAATTATCTGTATTCATTTCTAACTATTATTTTTTTTTTTTTATGATTTCTTCTCAGCTTTGTATAGTTAAGGTAAGGGGGAAGGGCCCTGGCGAGTTAAGGTAAGGGGAGAAGGGCCCTGTCTAGCTAAGGTAGGGGGAGAATGGCCCTGGCTAGTTAAGGTGGGGGAAGAAGGGAGTCTTATCTCCGTTTGAACGTTCTTAGTGAAGTCACGTAGTACCTTCTGGGGAATGTTGTTTACGCCGTTACTACCTGGGTCGCTCCACCTTGCCTACATCATGGTAGTTGCTTGTTTACGTACTGTACATTTGATACATAATAAACAGAATAATATATCTCTCACACGACGATGAAGATGAGCTGTACTGTACCCCATCCAGCTTAACTCACCTGATGAATAATTAAACATTACTTCTACCTGGGGGTTAGGTTAGTGTCAGGGTGGTTAGTCATAAGATGAAGTAAATTTGCGCTAATCTTCACACACACTCACAAGGTTCATAGCTACACGTATTGTTCATTAATAACTGTGTCCCACTACCAGTCGTAAGGTAAACAATTCAACTCCATATCTTGGAAAATTATTCGGGAAGTTTAACGTTGACGAAAGTAGTGATCCAAACCACGCATTTTAAATTTCTACCGTGTAAAGATTATCCATAAGCAAATGACTATATAACTATAGAAAAAACTGATATATACGCCATAAAAACAGAAAAATTATCACCCCTGCCGTTGTTGCTGTTTCCGCTAGTCATCTGCTTTACACTACCGCTCCCTTTGTTTACATCCTATTGTTAGGTCGACCTTTGCGTGACAAGCTTACGTAAACATCTGCCTTCAATTCAATTTCAATGGTTTATTCCTTGATAGAGGAAGCGGGATCCTAGTGCTCAAGTGCTGTCACTAGGTACCCCTGTACAATAACACCAGAAGCATCTGGCAAGTGTCACAAGTATATACAGTATAAATATTGTAAAGGGGCTTACTAAAGCCTAAGGAAAGAAGGATATTCCTTTAACACATTATCAATATTGTTTACATAGTATCTGGCCAGTATGGGGAGGATCATCGTGTCTCCGTCAGGGGGTCGTGGAGTGGTGGTCCAGCAGGCGTCACGGAAGCGTTGTGTGTGGGGACATCTTAGGAGGTAGTGGATAAGGGTGCTGCTGTCGAGTCTTCTGCATAATGCACAAGAGTGTTGCTCAGGGGATGCGGGGATACCAATCTTCCCAAGCAAATTCATACCCAATGATGATACGGGCAGCAATCACGTCTCTTTTCCGCGACCCTTTCCCTTAGACATACGAGAGGTCAGGAAGTTTACGGAGGACATCGTACCAGGTGGGATGGCTGCTTCCAGGGCTTCTCTCTGTTTGCGGCGAATTTGGGTCCTAAGCTGTAAAAGTGTTCGAGGAACAACGTAGTCAGGTGTGGCCTTGTTGCAGCCAGTCTTGGCAAGGCCATCTGCTGCCTCATTCCCCAAGATACCGACTTGACTGGGTATCCATAGAAATGTCACAGGACGGCCTGCATCCTGAAGTGTGGATGTTAACCCTCGTATTCGGAGGATGAGGTCCTTATTTTCCCCTGATCCAAATGTGATCCCGTCGAGAGCAGACCTGGAATCGCAGCAGATAAGCAAGGGGCAGAAACCATCTGCTTCTTCCTCAGCGAGAAGGGCTATTAGTTCAGCCTGAGTGGAGGATGCCCCGTCACAAACTCTGAGAGAGAGTTTGATAGGCTC